ACTTCCCACAACATGTAATGTAACTAGTACACACTTCCCACAACATGTAATGTAACTAGTACACACTTCCCACAACATGTAATGTAACTAGTATACATTTCCCACAACATGTAATGTAACTAGTACACACTTCCCACAACATGTCATGTAACCAGTACACACTTCCCATTACATGTAATGTAACTAGTACAAACTCCCCACAACATGTAATGTAACTAGTACAAACTTCCCACTACATGTAATGTTACTAGTACAAACTTCCCACAACATGTAATGTAACCAGTACAAACTCCCCACATTATGTAATGTAACTAGTACAAACTTCCCACAACATGTAATGTAACTAGTACACACTTCCCACAACATGTCATGTAACCAGTACACACTTCCCATTACATGTAATGTAACCAGTACACACTTCCCATTACATGTAATGTAACTAGTACAAACTTCCCACAACATGTAATGTAACCAGTACACACTTCCCACAACATGTAATGTAACCAGTACACACTTCTTGTCCTTCTCCATGTTGACATTGACGACATTTCCGAGGTTGGAGAAGGCCTTCCTGAGGATTTCCTCGGATACCCCATGCCCGTGGACGTAGATGGTGTTTCCTCGGGGCGGTGGCTCCTTTACCCGAATATCACGCTCCTTCTTCTCACCAAAACCTTGTACACAGAAATGGTCACAATTTGTGGAAAAACGGAGAGAAAACTGTACAAGATACAAGTATAACAATATTTACGTTAAGTTTATTACCTTTATATTGAATGCGTTGCTGACTAGTCTAATTAATATGTACAGATCTATTACCAAATATGTATGAATGGAATTCTAGTCTAGCAGGAAATAAGATATTTGTTTGACAAACAATTATACCTATAAATAACTCTTACCTCCACTGACAAAGTTGTCATAAAGTGCTCGCACTTTTTGTCTTGGGCGTATCTAGTAAAACAAAACAAAAAAGGAATCATTATGGCGCCACAACCATATATTTGTTACAAGGGTTCTGTTCACCTTCCCAGTATAGACCAACAAGTGAAGAGGTAAAACAGGCACTTTTACTTACAGCCTTGTACCTTCCCAACATCACATTAAACCTGTGATGATAAATTATTAATATATCTCTTAACATTAACAAAGAATTCGCCAACAAAAAGGTTGATAGATTTGGGGGAGATATTTCATATGCCAAGTAAATCATCTAATCAATGTTTACTTATTCAGAGGATTTTTTTAAATATTTCAACCAAATTTCTTTTTTTTCCACACGTAAACAAAAAATATAGAAAGCCTTTAATTTACAACCAAATAATTCTGATAGAAATGCTAGAAAACCCTATGATAGAATTTTTAATAGGCAATTTCTTGAATTTAATATTATGTATATTTCTTGTGTTAGATACATAATTCAATTCTCAATACATGTACATCCTCTTTGGTGTGACCTATCAGGTTATTTTCTATTTTCAAAGTTAAATTAAATTAATAAAATGCATGTACTTCACGCTCCTCTTCCTCGGGATGAGTTGCCTGAAAGGGCTGGAAACCAACAGCTGACGGAGTCTTCTCTGGGTCCTACAAACAGAAACAATATCCACCAATAACATAATTACTGCAACGTACAGATACCTGTATCAAGTGAATCCAGAATATTACCACACATTCAGTTAGGTCTCATTTTATCATTTTTTGTAAAAAGAACTAGTCTGATAATACTGGACTGGAACTTGAATCTTTTGGACACAAAATTGTTCTCAGCAGCATCCACTCTTAATATCGTTATACTGCATTAATATAAATATTTTTTCTATGATTCAGACGATATTTTTATATACAGTATTTCACTACAATGTATTGGGAAATTTACTAATGCAATTTTATAACTTCTTTATTTTCTTATATAAAGTATACTCGGAAAAAGCTAAAGGCTGATTTAAATACATTCATATTTAAGTGTGCCCTCCCCGAGAAGGAAATATGGAAATAGAAATAGTCCGAAATACCATACTTGATAGAAATGTACAACTACAAATGATGGTTATTTATATACCCTATTAAGTTTTAAAGGAATGGCAGGAAGAATAACTGTCAAATAAGACCTATAATGCTCAAGAAGGGAAACAACTCTGTAAATTAAAAGTAAATTGTATGGTTAACATCATGCAATGATGCAAACTGATAATGTACAAAGTTTCTCTGAATTATGTACAAAATTTAAGAACTCAAAATATGTTAAAAAGAAAAAGAAATAGAAATTTTGTATCAAACAATTACCTTACAAACTGATCATGATAAAGTGCACAAAGTTTCATTAAAATCAATGCATACATGTATCTCAAGGACGATTAGTCCATCAAAACTTGTGTCTAAAACTAGATGAGCTGACATCCTGAAACCAGTGTACAAATAAAGAAATGTATACAAATTTAACAAGAGCATTTACTGGTACAAAAAAAATGTATTCTTATCTGTAGATCAATACTTACCTTGAGTTTCTTTTCCATAAACTTGGTGCGTTTGAAGCTATGTTTGTCTTGACTATCAGAAGCAATCTTGATTGCCTGGATTGTACGATTTAATTGATACAGTTAGGTAATCATTGTTTTAAATTCCAATTATAGGCGAAAAACATAAAACAAGTCAGTCACATAAAAACGTCTACAGCAGATATTTTCAAAAGGGTCAATTTGGTCACGACTCAAACGATAACCAAAGATTACTGCACCGACATGTATAATCATTAATGTAACTCAATGACACTAGAAACTGAATTCTCCAAATAGTTGCCCATCATAAAGTTTGTCTTTATGTCAAACAAATATCAAAACTTCAAATTGTCTAGAGAAACCAACCCTTATGCGTATTTGCCAACTCTCCCAATTTCGGAGAAAGCCTCCCGAATTAAGACCCTAAAATTGAACATTTTTAACAAGTAGAATTGCTAAATTCTTCCTATATTCTAAGATCTGTTTCTTTCATCTGAAAGAACATCTCAAAAGATGTCATTTTGAAGTGTTATTTATCCCTAAGGGAAACATACAAACATTTATTTTTAGGTTTTTAATTTTGAGCATACAAAATCTCCATCATGGCAAACAGTTGACAAGTATGCTTGTGTACTTTTAAGTGCCATTCTATATATCATACGATTTTTATACTCTTCACAAAATTAGAATGAGGAAACTTACACCTGACTTCAACAACTTCTTCGCTTGTTCTTTAGCATCTTCAGCTGACTCAGGGGCAGCTACAAAATACAATGTACTACGGTAATAATCTGTTCCTCAGGTCAAAGATATATCAGTGATCAAGATTTAAACCTGTTGTTATATTCGCATGTACTAGATCCTTTATGTCCTCCTATGAAACAAGGATTATAAATTATAGTTCACACACACACACAAATGAAAGTCACTTAAAACAGGGTTAGCTTGGTAAAGAGGCAGAGTTCATCTGTTTGTACAATAGAAAGTGGAAGCTAAATGTCAAATATCTATTGTGGACAACTTATATGATGGATCTGAATACTGATAACGAGAAACATCATATATGTCTGGAACCACACTAATTTGTTGTTTTAAAAAAAAATCAAAAAAATCTGTTATTTCATTCATATACATATACCTATGTTAAAAGTTGAAAATTGTCACAACATTTTATCTTTCACCTCGTTCTAATGCTTACGTCTTTTAGCTGGTTGCTGTGCTGGCACTTCCCTTTCTGGTTTGGCTGTTTTCAATGCTTGAAGTATTTTTTTCTGAAAGATTAAACATGTGACGTCATTTCTTTACTAAAGTAATGCAATCTTATTGAATGGAGTATTTGATACATTCACTTTGTTCTATCATTTCGTTGACATATATATACAGATATATGTATCAAAGAGATGGTTTAAATCATGTCTGTAACATGGAAAGGAAACAGCAATAAGGCCAGACCAGGATTCAAACCTGGAACCTCCAAACTGGAGATGAATGCTCTGACTGAACTACCTGGTCACCAACAGTCACTTGGCTCAGTCCCTCTGTATATATACCTCCCTACTTCTTCTTAGTCTTTCACCCTTAGACATCACTACTTACAGCCTAGGGTCGGATTTTCCCTTAGGAAGCGTGTACATACAGTTACCATTTGAAACAAGGGTTAGTCACAGGCACCACTGTGACTGGTGATAGAAAATTAAATGGAACAAGGCCAGACTGGGATTTGAACCTGAAACCTCTGACTTCTATATGGATGCTCTAACCAATCAACTGGTGTGTCATGGTCACAGTGGAGTTGTGCGTCTAAACTGCACTTGTTGAAGTCTTTATACCTATATCAAGATGTCTTAATTAGTCAACCCGAACTTCAAGTATTAACTTTTTCAAACCTAGCTGTCTATACAGAGTACAATTTATGTTACCAGCTAGGAGGTTAAGGTGAATGTGATCCTATGTACGATTAAAGTCTGCCACAGTTATCAAAAAAAAAAAATCACTATTATCTCACTCTAAAAGGATCTTATATAAATAGTTAATAGTTGCTAATCCCTACCTCAACAGCTGATTGTGAGAGGGGCTTTTCTACCTTAAATAAAATGAATCAAAACAGAACAGAGAAACTGACTGTGTAACAAGATAATCAATCCCCTGCTCATCATTTCAATGGAAGGTGCCTCAACAACTGAGTTTGACCTCAGAAGCTGTCTGGACACTGAGATGGGCCAGCCATAAGCCCAGGAGGATTTCCTTCACCTAGGAAACATTAGTGTTAGTATAATATTAGGGGGGGGGGGGGGGGGGGGGGGGGACTTATTGAAAAACTGTAAGGAAAGGATGTACCAAAGTGTGCTTTTGAAGTAACAGTGTTTAGTGCTTTGTTTATAATATAAACTGGTGTGAAGTAATAAGAGAATCGTTGCAGTTGTTTAGGGAAGTGTGGTTTATGGTGTGCTCAATGTGGAGAATGCTGTAGTGTTATGTTTTTGTGAAATGTTAAGTTTTCAATTATTTATTGTATGTATGTATGTTCTGTATTTATCAACAAGTGTCAAAAATAGATTCTATTGAGAGTGAGTGTGATAGTACTAGTGCTTCTGTCATTTGAATGTAATGTTATACATTATTTGATAATATTTATTATATATAATATCCAGACAAAATACGGGACATGTTCTTTTTCAGTTAGGGTACAGTTATAACGCCGTCCGTCATTTTCTCATGTTATCTAGAATAATGTTGAATGTACAGGTGCAAGACAAACTGAGATGATGTGTAAATGCTATATAATAGTAACCTGTCTCACTCTTCTATCCCTTCACACCACACGTTATCCCTTCCACTCATTTTCCTGTCTTTCCTTTGTCTGCTGTATAACCGAACTACTCGGTAGTGAAGCGGACGTAAAACCTAGCAATCAATCAATCATATACACATACACATCGTATCATGATGCCTAGCACCTCCACAGAAGTGGGGCAACTTTCAAAAAGGGATATTGTTTCATATATCTAAGCCACAAGAATATGACATATTGGCACCTTTTTACGAAGCAGTGCATATTTTTGTCGTAATTTTTCTTCTTCATCTGTTAATCGAGCTGGAAAGTTGATATAACCCATGTTGATCTAACGACAGATTCCAGTTAAAGCTCCGGATGCAGGTTTTAAGGGATCGTTTCGTGAAATTCATCTTATAATAACCCGTAATGATAAATAAATTTATGAAACTGAAAAAACGTTAAAAATTTGCATCAAAAATCAATCTTTGCAAGCAATTTTTATTACTCTTATGCATATCACATTGATATGATTATTGAAAATTAGATATATATTGTGAAAGAGTCGCTCCCTCTGTAAACCGGAAATGACGTTTTTCACATTATAAACACACACGTGGGATGTGGTTTCGGTTTGTCTAACGAGCTCGTCTAACACAAGTGATTGTCTGTGTAACACAGTTAGTTTTCTTTAACCAAACTAATGTCGTTCAAATAAGTTTCTCATTTATTTGAGTAATCCATTTTAGTACTTTGCAGGTGCCAAGCAACTACATTATTTTGGTCTGCAGATCGAGTTCAACAGGCTTCCATATAGTTTTGGTTTGTACTGCATCTCCTGTATTGTTCTTCATTGTAATTGACGAGAGACTTTATGTGACACTAGCAATGTAAAGATGGACAAAATCGGAAAAATCTGTATAGCTCAGTAGATTGTAACAATGTATATGTCAAATTGTGTGCTGTCACTTAATGATATTAACCGAAATGTAACATGATCAGTATTAAATTATGAATTAACTCTTTATCTGTTTATGTCCCATTGTAATTTTAACATTTTAGTAACTTTGATCTTTGGTCAAAAGTTCTACCTTATGTCGTGATGTGTAAATATTAAGCACTGACAATGGTTTTCATTACACACCTAAATTATTCAAATTAAGAATGTAATTAAGCTGTACAATATTGTGATATTAATTGCGACAAGAGTTTCTACACTAACAGTTAAGTAATTAATTTAATGAATTGTAGTTTTGATGTGGATAATGAAATTATGACTTTAAATACATCAGAAGAATATGTACAATATTTAATTATATATATACAAAATAATCATGAGTATTAATTTTCACAGTTATTTTGTGTATTACCCTTAATTAAATATAGCATGTAACCTTTATGACCTTGCCCTTACATTTCATTGCAGGTCTTCACAATGATATTTGTGTCAAGATGAATATATTCTAAGTAAATCAGAAGGGAAGAGGTTGTATAAGCTACAAGACTACAATGAAGTTTGTTGTGAACAGTGTAAAGAGTGGAGGCTGTCGCCTGGGTGTGATGTCAGATTTTGGGTTACATGGTAAAAAGATTGTTGAGACCCCTATGTGTATGCTCTACACTAGGAGAGGTGAGTACAGTTCAAACACATCTATAAAACAATCATCAGGCACCCAAATATTGTATTTAAAGAAGCAAAATTTGTGATAAAGTTTCATGAACATTTCTGTACAATTTCGTCTATGATCACTGAAGTGATGAACTTGATTATGTATAGGTGTCCAAAATTAGGTCTCTGACCACGAACTTAGATAGTTCTTAGGTACTTAGCTAAATCCGTGCTCTGACCTATATTTTGACCTTTCTGATTATTACTTGTAGGTCATTTTTCCTATACTTTTGTGTTTCTCCCTATGTGATTGTCAAACTTGATATAACAACCGTCCATTTCATCCAATCAATTATTCATAAAACAAAGAAACATAATAACCTTCCAATAATCAAGCCATTCTCTTATTAAATTGACATTTAATATCAAGGTGACAGAGATGACGGCACATCAGAGTTATTAACAACTTGGGGTTCCATCTGGTTTATTAAGATTTCCTAATGTACATCATTAACAAATAGTCCATTTTAAATAATTAATTTGTTTTTACAGGCAGTGCCCCTCACTTGACAGCAGACATGCTGAAGAAAATCCAGTGGTTACCTCCCATGGCACAGATGTCTGTCACCAACATGTAATTATCTTTAATGATGTGTGTGTGGTACTTGGTAGATATTTAATGAGCCACATGTAGAAATAGATTTGACCACAAAATATTTACAACATTTTTATCACCTAGATGACAAATGATCCTCAAAACATATTCTATATGTCCTGATAGATCATATTTCGATTTGACGACAAACATTATAACGAAGTTTTTTTTGTCGTAAATGCAATTGATCAAATACAGCAACGTAACAATGATATGTGGGTCAACATAATTTTATAAATATTGTACATGTGTGTCTACTTTGGCCTTGAATGAAGGTCAAAGTTATTTATTTGCACAAATCTGACAGCCCTTCATCTTCATCACAGCAAACTACAGACCATACATTTAACTATAAGCCTTGGGGATTTTTGTTTTATCAAAAGTTACCTCAGATGACAGATACTAAATACCATCATGTACCAAGCTCACAGGCTAAAATGTTGAATTATATCCTGTATAATTCTATATCAGAATATGAAATTTCCTCTAATAAAACGTTACTGGCAGCTTATTTCAATACAGGAATTGCTGTTATTTCGCAGATTAGAAATAAACTTTTTACTGAAAGTAAGTCAGGGACAATTGTACTACTTTTGAGATGAAATAACTTAATTTTTAGGTCCATAGGAATTCATTGCTTTGCAGTGGAATTTCTTGCACTAACAACAAAACGCCAATGAGAACTTTTCTAATATATTTTTTTCCAGGATAGAGCATCATGAGGCCATAGAGGCTTACAAGCAAGGAATCGGGAAATTTGCAAATATGAAGGTATATAAATATAGAATTGTATTATTTATTATTCAAAACATTTACAGCAGTTTATTTTCTTCAGCAGAATGATTTTGACTGGGAAATCAAAATTATTGTATACCTTCCACAATAAAGTTCATAGGAATTGGGTTTTGTGGTCGGTTTTGCTGGAATCGGGTTGTCTGCATGTCGATCTGTCTGTAGACGGAAGCCTGTCTGGACAACACCTTCTACATGTTTCATCCAAATTTCTTGAAACTCCACTGATATAGTCACCACACTCTTAAGTTATGCATCTTTGCTTACTATTTCTTAATTCCAGATAATTTATGAAAGTTATGCCTCTTTTGCAAACTTGTTCATTCTAGTATACATGTGTTATGTTGAGGTTAATGGCGTCTTTTAGAAGGCTTTTTGGAAACTTTCTAAACATTGTATAACATAAATCATATTGTAACTGACTTCATTTTGGCTATTTTTATAGGGTATTAGCTTTTTCACCCCTAAGTAACCTCAGTAGACTCTACCATACGTTTATCTGGGTGAGTCCATTATGGTCTACAGTGGTGAAAGGGTTAAGTTATATGTTGGATTCTAGTTTCTTTTTTTTGCCATAATCAAAATAATATTTTTGAAGATAAAAAGCACAGTGTTAGTGTTTTACTGTAGTTTTAAATGAACTGGTTATTTTCAGGATTATATTGTATACACTGCCCTCCATGATCCCGCTACAGAGGTAATGTCAGGGCAGAATGACACAGCGACTGTGGGTGTGTGGTCAAAGTCAGGCAAGGTCAGAGTAAGTACCCACTGAATAATGGGAGTCAGAGTAAGTACCCACTGAATAATGGGAGTCAGAGTAAGTACCCACTGAATAATGGGAGTTAGAGTAAGTACCCACTGAAATATGGGAGTCAGAGTAAGTACCCACTGAAATATGGGAGTCAGAGTAAGTACCCACTGAATAATGGGAGTCAGTATAAGTACCCACTGAATAATGGGAGTCAGAGTAAATACCCATTGAATAATGGGAGTCAGAGTAAGTACCCACTGAATAATGGGAGTCAGAGTAAGTACCCACTGAATAATGGGATTCAGAGTGAGTACCCACTGAATAATGGGAGTCAGTATAAGTACCCACTGAATAATGGGAGTCAGTATAAGTACCCACTGAATAATGGGAGTCAGAGTAAATACCCACTGAATAATGGGAGTCAGAGTAAATACCCACTGAATAATGGGAGTCAGAGTAAGTACCCACTGAATAATGGGAGTCAGAGTAAGTACCCACTAAATAATGGGAGTCAGACTAAGTAACCACTGAATAATGGGAGTCAGAGTAAATACCCACTGAAATATGGGAGTCAGTGTAAGTACCCTCTGAAATATGGGAGTCAGACTAAGTACCCACTGAATAATGGGATTCAGACTAAGTACCCACTGAATAATGGGAGTCAGATTAAGTACCCACTGAAATATGGGAGTCCGAGTAAGTACCCACTGAAATATGGGAGTCAGAGTAAGTACCCACTGAAATATGGGAGTCAGACTAAGTACCCACTGAATAATGGGAGTCAGAGTAAGTACCCACTGAAATATAGGAGTCGGAGGAAGTACCCACTGAAATATGGGAGTCAGAGTAAGTACCCACTGAATAATGGGAGTCAGAGTAGGTACCCACTGAATAATGGGAGTCAGAGTAAGTACCCACTGAATAATGGGAGTCAGAGTAAGTACCCACTGAATAATGGGAGTCAGAGTAAGTACCCACTGAATAATGGGAGTCAGAGTAAGTACCCACTGAATAATGGGAGTCAGAGTAAGTACCCACTGAATAATGGGAGTCAGAGTAAGTACCCACTGAATAATGGGAGTCAGAGTAAGTACCCACTGAATAATGGGAGTCAGAGTAAGTACCCACTGAATAATGGGAGTCAGAGTAAGTACCCACTGAATAATGGGAGTCAGAGTAAGTACCCACTGAATAATGGGAGTCAGAGTAAGTACCCACTGAATAATGGGAGTCAGAGTAAGTACCCACTGAATAATGGGAGTCAGACTAAGTACCCACTGAAATATGGGAGTCGGAGTAAGTACCCACTGAATAATGAGAGTCAGAGTAAGTACCCACTGAAATATAGGAGTCGGAGTAAGTACCCACTGAAATATGGGAGTCAGACAAAGTACCCACTGAATAATGGGGGTCTGGTAAAATAGACCTACATAGATTACGTAACTAAGGTGAAATGGTAAGTATCATTTATAAAAAGTAAGAATTACGTGAATTTGAACCCTGATAAGATAATTACCCGTCTTTACTTTGATAGATCAAATGAAGTTCCAACCAGCATAATCTTACTGTTTTCTTTGCAAAACTTTTTCAACATCTAGTCATCTACATTGATCCATTAGAACGAAGCTCGAGTGTTTGTAAGCTATTGATGTAGTGTATATCAAAGTCTTTAACCAGATTTGTATGTGATACAAACCTTCAGTCAGCCTGTTGTAACTGTTGCTCTAGCTGGATGTGGAGATGTTTGTGAAGGTACAAGAAGCATTCAAGCCCGACATGTACCAGGCCCTCAGCGACGGGGACACAGATCTCAAAGCGGGAAAGAAGAGGACAAACAAGTCGGTGACAAGGACGCTGACTTACCTGGACGATATACTCGAGAGGCTGCCGAAATCTCAGGTTAGAGACAGGAACATTTTGAGCAGTTTAATGGGTTTCTTTTTATTCCCGCTTAGGAGATATACTACTTCAATACCATGCACAAGACTCTTGAGGTTGGCATGACTTTGTGCATTATTCCTGCTTGGGAGATATACTACTTCAATACCATGCATAAAACTCTTGAGGTTGGCATGACTTTCTGATACAATTCATACATTGTTTGGTTTCTTATAAGTAACAGATGAAGTTTCATCATTTTACGAGAGAGCAAATACAACGCTCTGTGGCTTTTATGAAATACCCAAGCTTCATATGTTATTAAATTAGTTACTGGTATCATACCCGGTGATAAGAATGATAGGTTATTACGAAAAGTTTTCTATTTTTTGCTTTCTTTTGAGTGTAGGTACTGAAGGATGCAGCCATATTTGGCGTGATCGAGGGAGGTAACTCTGAATTCGAGAGATGTCGTTCAGCCAGGGAAACTGCATCTAGAGATGTGGCAGGTAATGATCTTCTGTGAAAAAATGTGGTGTTTTCTAGGGCTGAAACAGTACATGTATCGCAGGACGATGCATACAATACAATGCATATCAAGATGCACATTTCTGCTTAAAAGTCAACTTTTTATTATATTTATATTTTTACAGAACTTTGACGGGTGTTAAACAGTAAATATTTTCAAAGTATATTTTTGCAAGAGTTTTAGTACTTTCGAGTATGACTCCACATGTACAGTGGACCACATCTTGACTGAAAGATTCCAAAACTATCAGTACACTTTTAAATGTTTCATGAGAAATAGATTGATATTTTTAGCATTGTCAGTGTAATACGATACAGGCAAACAAATGATTCCATACAATACACAATACAATACGATTTGGTGAATCGTTTTAGCCCTCGTGTTTACTTTTCTGATCGTTAAATGTTGTACATGTATGTACCCTATTACTAATGGAAAGGGTCAAAAGTATGCAGGGTTCATAAGGGGTTGCAATATCCCCAAATGTTATTGAGCTTCCCTATTAATTTGTCCTTAAAAATGTTGAAAGTAAAAGTAAATATATAAATAATTTAGAGCTGTTTCCTCTTTCTCATTGATACAGGATTTGTAATTGAAGGATTCCATAACCAGGGACCACAGACAGAGCTTTTCAAAATATCCGATATCAGAGATATTTTTAAGACGACATTGGTGAGTTAGTATCCATGAAGGATTTATTGGTTTAGATGTGTTGAACGAAAACAGTAATGAATACTGCGATACTTGTTTTTGTGACTTTTGTAATCTACTCCACACAGTCAGCTCTGTTCGTACCACTTTCCTGTCAGTGTTATAGATGGAAACTTTAATTTGCCATTGTTTGTTTCCTCTGTGTGTCTGATGTTCCATTACCTCAGCATTGTAATCAAATTCCATACCAAGGTTAGTACTGTAAAGGAAAGGTTGAGGTTGCTTTGGAGGTCAAAGGTGAAGGTCTTCTGGATCAGACGTACTCGGGAGGTCCCAGTCATTGCATTTTAGGGGAAACTCAACGTGCAAAATATAGGAGCAGAAGAATTTGTTCAGCATTTTACATAGAACTTCACAAAGATTTAATTCGTTAATTGTAGAAGTTGTACTATGCGCCGACCAGTTTCTATTTCTAAGCCCTTAAGGTAAAATCAGCTGAACAAATGAAGAGTAAAATTAAACAGAAATGTGATTAACATTGTTTATTGCCAAATGTTTTGTCATTAAATTTTAACTTGAAAGTCTACTTGCAATCACTTCCTTTATTCATCTACAGGAATGTCTTCCCGAGGAAAAACCACGACTGATGCATGGAGCGTTCCCACCAGATCAAGTCCTGGAGGCACTAGAGTTGGGTCTGGATGTGTTCGACAGTTCGTATCCTTCAGTGAAGTGAATTTTAAAACTGAATTTATTCTCATTTTTGAAATGCAATTTTGGCTGAATTTGAAACTTATTTTGAGTCAAGCCAGGAAATAGTACTTTAAGAAAAAAATCCTGGTAGAAGCATTCCAGTTATGATTTAAAGGTCATTTACCTGTATATTCTTCACAAATGTAAGGAATATTTCCTGGTTTCTTTGTGGTTCATTGCAGTTTTATTTCCTATGCAAATTATTGTTATTTTGGTGCTGAATTCCTTGATTTAACATCCTTGACTAAAGCCCCCAGCTATCCGTACCACGTAACAGAGAGAGGCGGTGCACTGGTGTTCGACTTTGTCCACATAGCTGACCCAGAGGATATGGACGGGAACAAGGCTGTACAAAAAGGATGGGAAATAGATCTTAATGATAAAAAGTAAACACAACCAACCTTGTCTATATAAAGACCACCTTAGAAAAGAGCAAAAGCTATTTTGATTGACAGGTGGCCTTTATAGACAGGTTAAGATATAAATGAAATCACCATTGTGAATATTCCTCAGATTGTAGCTGTAGACACGTGTTTAAGACAGGTGTCACTGATTTTTTTTTCTTTTGCACATTTTTCTAGTCCTCAGAGGTCTTTGATGTAATGATCTATGTTAACATATGTTAAGAAGTTGATATCAAACATACATTAAATTTGTTGTCCAGTCTGTTCAAACGCTTTTATCGCATGATGCCAGTCAATGTCATTTTGTATAACAGTATTGTGAGGGAATCGGATTGTAATGACACAAGTTTTATTTACAGATATTTTGAAGACTTTGGTCCTTTAATAGAAGACTGCTCTTGCTATACCTGTAAAAACTTCTCCCGAGCCTATATCAACCATCTGAGGAACACCTCAGAACTACTGGGGTCTGTGTTACTGATGATGTAAGTCAAGGCATGTTACAGGTCGATACAGCTTTCATTTAGTGCAGTAGTATTTTCATGTATTGCGATCTGAAATTTAATAGGTCTGTTGTGTTACCTAACGAAAGTTGTTTGCTGTCATGGTGCAGATTCAACTCGTTGTAAAAGTACTCATTTTACTGCAGTTAATTTGTCCAGTTTTGTAGTTATGTGAATACTGTTATTTGAGAACTTTTTCACCTCCAATCTCTTTTTTCCATTTCGTCATTGAACAAGAGGGTAATATCTAACACAAGATGAAATGAAAATTGCGAAATATAGAATTAGTTTTGAAACAATGGCATAGAATTAGTTTTGAAACAATGGCAGAGTTCAAAGGGCAAAATTTTGAAAGGTGCAAAATGATAAAATTCTTCATGAAAAATATGACATCACAAGGTGATAAATATGTCTCCTAATGAAATTTTCTATTGAAAAAATATCTACGTTTACTTTACAGACACAACTTCCAGCACTACTTCAACTATTTTGAGGCCATCCGGAGAGCTCTGGCGGAAGATAAATACGAACAATTGAAAACTCATATAACGAAACAGAAAGTCTGCAACAACAGTTGATAGTAGGCATCTGAACATCATAATGAACTCATCGAGTCAGAGACATGGGAAGACTGTACATCTATTCTGTATATTTGGTCTACAACATGTCAAGCTGTTTTATGTGTTGCCTATAAGCCTTACTGGATAACTTTTCTGTCCCACAAATTTATCAGATAATATCCTCTGAATGATAATTGATTATCAACCTATTTTAATAATTCAACTTAAATTTAAAAAAATAAAAAATAAATAAAAATGAAATGTACATGTTAAGACAGCTATGATGTACGTAAACTGTATTTAAGTTAGGAGAGGGCTTAATTAAGTTGTAAGAACTTGTGCCCAATCCTTTTTGTCATTTTCAAGGCAATAAAAATATGTTTAAACTAATCAATAGATATCTGTGACTGATCATCTTTAGTTGGGATATTTTGTTTGTCCCAAAACATGAAAGCAAGGGATATTATTTCATACTGTGAAATTATCGCTAAACTTTGGCCGAGTGATGAAACACGCAGTAGATATGGGAGTGATGAAACTCAATAGTAGTTATGGGAGTGATGAAACTCAACAGTAGTTATGGGAGTGAGGAAACTCAATAGTAGTTATGGGAGTGATGAAACGCAATAGTAGTTATGGGAGTGATGAAACTCAAAAGTAGTTATGGGAGTGAGGAAACTCAATAGTAGTTATGGGGGTGATGAAACTCAATAGTAGATATGGGAGTGAGGAAACTCAATAGTAGTTATGGGGGTGATGAAACTCAATAGTAGATATGGGAGTGAGGAAACTCAATAGTAGTTATGGGAGTGATGAAACTCAACAGTAGTTATGGGAGTGAGGAAACTCAATAGTAGTTATGAGAGTGATGAAACTCAATAGTAGTCATGGGAGGGATGAAACTCAATAGTAGTTATGGGAGTGGGGAAACTCAATAGTAGTTATGGGAGTGATGAAACTCAAAAGTAGTTATGGGAGTGAGGAAACTCAATAGTAGTTATGGGAGTGATGAAACGCAATAGTAGTTATGGGAGTGAGGAAACTCAATAGTAGTTATGAGAGTGATGAAACTCAATAGTAGTCATGGGAGGGATGAAACTCAATAGTAGTTATGGGAGTGAGGAAACTCAACAGTAGTTATGGGAGTGAGGAAACTCAATAGTAGTTATGGGAGTGATGAAACCTACATACATGGGAGTATGAAACTTATTACAGTCATTGCAAGGATGAAACCTATAGCAGTTATGGGAGTGATGAAACCTATATCAGTTGTGGGAGAAATATGTACTGTATATGTTACATTTCAAGTGTCATTAAATGTAGAGCAGGCAATAATACCCGGTAGCTGTGTAATGAATAACACCTTAATATGTCAATATTTCATTTACATCATATAAAGATGAACATTCATAGCAATCTGGAAATTCTAGCTACATGTATAGTTTGCATACAAGTTGCTATTTTTAGCAGGTACATGTATTACAGTTTGCAAATTGGTATTTGGAAATTATTTGCGAGATTTGAATATCACTATCGCAGACAGATGATAAAATTATGGTTTTGAATAAAAATAGATTTTATTTATTTGTTGCTCATTATTATAATTTTCTTATCTAATAATTTATCAATTTTATCTATTAAGATTAAGAACATCAACAATTCGACATTTATGTAGAATACATTTTGAAAGGTTTTTAAACAATTAATGAAGTTGAATCCTTTTGCGAAAGTTAACAATTGATATATACCTACATTGACCGAATCATTACCGATACAGGTAACTAGCCGTAAAGACTATTATTGTTAGCATTACGTCAGACCTACCTGGGATTTAGCACATTATAATCTTACTATGACAGAACATTACCGGTACAGGTAACTAGCCGTAAAGACTATTATTGTTAGCATTACGTCAGACATACCTGGTATTTAGCACATTATAATCTTACTTTGACAGAATCATTCCCGGTACAGGTAACTAGCCGTAAAGACTATTATTGTTAGCATTACATCAGACCTACCTGGGATTTAGCACATTATAATCTTACTATGACAGAACATTACTTGTACAGGTAACTAGCCGTAAAGACTATTATTGTTAGGATTACATCAGACCTACCTGGTATTTAGCACAGTATAATCTTCCTATGACGAACCATTACTGGTACAGGTAACTAGCCGTAAAGACTATTACTACATTGACCGAATCATTACCGATACAGGTAACTAGCCGTAAAGACTATTATTGTTAGGATTACATCAGACCTACCTGGTATTTAGCACATTATAATCTTACTAAGACAGAACCATTACCGGTACAGGTAACTAGCCGTAAAGACTATTATTGTTAGGATTACATCAGACCTACCTGGTATTTAGCACATTATAATCTTACTTTGACAGAATCATTCCCGGTACAGGTAACTAGCCGTAAAGACTATTATTGTTAGCATTACATCAGACCTACCTGGTATTTAGCACATTATAATCTTACTATGACAGAATCATTACCGGTACAGGTAACTAGCCGTAAAGACTATTATTGTTAGCATTACGTCAGACCTACATGGTATTTAGCACAGTATAATCTTACTATGACCGAATCATTACTGGTACAGGTAACTAGCCATAAAGACTATTATTGTTAGCATTACGTCAGACACCTACCTGGTATTTAGCACAGTATAATCTTACTAAGACCGAACATTACTGGTACAGGTAACTAGCCGTAAAGACTATTACTGTTAGCATTACATCAGACACCTACCTGGTATTTAGCACAGTATAATCTTACTATGACGAACCATTACTGGTACAGGTAACTAGCCGTAAAGACAATTACTGTTAGCATTACGTCAGACCTACCTGGTATTTAGCACAGTATGATCTTACTATGACGAACCATTACTGGTACAGGTAACTAGCCGTAAAGACTATTACTGTTAGCATTACGTCAGACACCTACCTGGTATTTAGCACAGTATAATCTTACTATGACGAACAATTACTGGTACAAGTAACTAGCCGTAAAGACTATTACTGTTAGCATTACGTCGGACCTACCTGGTATTTAGCACAGTATAATCTTACTATGACGAACCATTACTGGTACAGGTAACTAGCCGTAAAGACTATTACTGTTAGCATTACGTCAGACACCTACCTGGTATTTAGCACAGTATAATCTTACTATGGATGGTGAATGGAACTCTCCTAGAGGTTAAACTAGTGGTTACACTATTCAATCAATAAAACTTTCATTTCATCTTGTACCGGTGACATGTTTGACCTGATGCTACATTTTGTGTTGTGGTATTTGTGATTTAAACACACTGTAACCCCTCCTCAGCTTTACCTGAAGTTGCAAACTTAGATCACACTTAAAAATAACATACAGAATTTTAGTTTTAAATCGTAAATTTTATATGCAGGTAACAACAGATCTTTAAAATGCTGATTAACAATAATCATAACAAAACAATGTTACATCTTCATTAGTTTACACCTTATCTTTCAATTTCTTTCTCTTCCATTCATTATAACTTGTCTTTTAAAAAAGACGTGACGACACACTTTGTCTCTCATTAATTAACATACATGAGTTTTCAAATTTGACCAATTATATATCTGGGAATCTACAACATAATATTCCAACCCGTTGTTTACATTCTTTACTTCACCGAACCATTTATTACATATTTACAACTATTACTTCACTGAACTATAGCAATTTGATAATATCTCTTTGCAGATAAAATATATCTCTGTATATCATTAAAAAGTAAAAACATTATTGTACATGTATCAATGAAGATATGAACACAAAGGTTGGAAGAAATTCTGGTACAGTGAAACCTGTCTAAGCCAGTCACTCTGATTTGACGTTAGACAATTACTATTTTTTGTTGTTGTTGACCAAAAAAATGTCTCCTATATGCAAACTAAAAGTTTAAGTCTGAATGGAAATTTTGCACAAATTTGACCTTGACCTTCGGGTGAATTTTCACCACGACATCTTTCAAGGTATAAAATTATAAAATTTAGCATTTATTTGACCTTTGACATAGAGATGACTGTCACAGACACGTTATTACAGTGGACTACACACCTATGTATGTACTTCAAGTTCAATCATCTTATCGCTGCAATTTTGCACTCAAGGTCAACATTTGACCTTGAGTTGAAGGTCAAGGTGACCTTAGCTAATTATACTAGTGCATTGTATACCTGTGGATGATGGAGGTAAACTTTCAAGTTTCATCAGGATATCTTTGATGCTTCAAAAAATTTCCAGATAATTATATCAGAAGAACCAGCACCATTACGATATGCCTCCCTTCATTCAAAGGGGAGACAAAAAAAAATACGTTTCATGGATCTGAAATGCAGGTGGTTTGTTACAGGTTACACTGACCTACACAGTATATGTATAAGTTGAAACACTCGACAGTACAAATATACAGAGATTCCTAATCTCCCTTGCAGAAGTACATAAGACTATTAACACTCACTTTCATACTAAGCCAGACTGTATATGTAGCAGTGCAGACAGAATCAGGTCTTCGACAGTGGCCTTGAACAAAGGCCATATTTACATGTGATAACATTTTGTCTGAGGCTACTGTGCTACAAGCCCTTACATCACATTTGTCAGTAAATACATGTACATTGACTGTAGTGATCACTGACAGGTGTTTTTAGTGGTCTCTGACTGTATAACAGGATAATGTATTTCTTCATGATTCTTGATTTGGAGACCAGTATTGTCTATTCCAATTTCTTAGGAACTTGTCTTAAAGCAATAATAACCAATAGTCAATAAATATTCAACATCATTTCTAAATCTCCTTGTACTACTTTTACAGAGTTGTCCCCAGAAAACTCTGGACACTAAATTACATCATTTTTTTTTTAAATTTTAAATCACAGAAAAAACACTCATCCAAATTTTTTTCAAATTCAAATTTCAGTGCAAATATTTCTTGGTAGACTTGCTGTGAGTAATAAATTGAGGCACGAGTCCTCAACAGTAGTTAGGATTTCTTAGTCTTGTTCAACCAGCCCATCATCACACTACTCTCTGTCTTCTTCTTTTTCTTTGGCGGACTTTCTGACACCTTCACTGCTGATACTCCTTCCTTTTTAGGTTTCGACAACCAGCTCATCATCAGATTACTACTCGCAGACTTTTTCGGTTTTCTGTAATGAAATAAACTTGAAATGGTCAACAAATTCCCATGTATTAACCAATTCGCTAATACAAATCCACTGGCACACGTCAAGGTCAGCCATGCCGGAGACAAAATAACTTTTCAGAGGGACATGCATGCCAGAGTTACATGTCAAATATTTTCAGTGTAGTTCATTGACAGAATTTGTTCATATCAGTGTTTTATATCAGAGCTATAAAAGCATCAATCCATAAAGGACTCGTGATCATGAAAGCTCCTTGTAAAGACACCTGTCGATAAACAATCCGTCTGATATATTAGTGTATCAGAATGTATGGAAGTACTAAAGAAGAAACTATATCCCTGTGTTTACTTTACAAAGTCAGTCTGACATTTGTCTTGTCTCCCTGTGTTTACTTTACAAAGTCAGTCTGACATTTGTCTCCCTGTGTTTACTTTACAAAGTCAGTTTGACATTTGTCTCCCTGTGTTTACTTAAAAATGTCAGACCGACTTTGTAAAGTAAACTCAGGGAGACAAATGTCAGACTGACTTTGTAAAGTAAACACAGGGAGTCAAATGTCAAACTGACTTTTTAAAGTAAACTCAGGGATACAAATGTCAGATGGACTTTGTAAAGTAAACCCAGGGAGACAAATGTCAAACTTACTTTGTAAAGTAAACTCACGGAGACAAATGTCAGACCGACTGTATAGAACCCGTCGATCTCAAGTAAGTAAACTCATGGAGATGAATGTCAGACAGACTTTGTAAAGTAAACCCAGGGAGACAAATGTCAGACTGACTTAATAAAGTAAACTCAGGGAGACAAATGTCAGACTGACTTTGTAAATTAAACTCAGGGAGACAAATGTCAGACTGACTTAATGAAGTAAATTCAGGGAGACAAATGTCAGACTGACTTTGTAAAGTAAACACAGGGAGACAAATGTCAGACTGACTTAATAAAATAAACTCAGGGAGACAAATGTCAGAATGACTTAATAAAGTAAACTCAGGGAGACAAATATAAGTCTGACATTCGTCTCCGTGAGTTTACTTTACAAAGTCTGTCTGACATTCATCTCCATGAGTTTACTTACTTGAGATCGACGGGTTCTATACAGTCGGTCTGACATTCGTCTCCGTGAGTTTACTGACTTGAGATTGACGGGTTCTATACAGTCTGTCTGACATTCGTCTACGTGAGTTTACTTACTTGAGATCGACGGGTTCTATACAGTCGGTCTGACATTCGTCTACGTGAGTTTACTTACTTGAGATCGACGGGTTCTATACAGTCGGTCTGACATTTGTCTCCGTGAGTTAACTTACTTGAGATCGACCGGTTCTATACAGTCGGTCTGACATTCGTCTACGTGAGTTTACTTACTTGAGATCGACCGGTTCTATACAGTCGGTCTGACATTTGTCTCCGTGAGTTTACTTACTTGAGATCGACCGGTTCTATACAGTCGGTCTGACGTTTGTCTCCGTGAGTTTACTTACTTGAGATCGATGGGTTCTATACAGTCGGGTGTATTATTGCATGATTTGTTGACAACAGTGGATACAGGGTGTAGCTGGATGCATTCCACAGGACGGATATTCTTCACAGCCTGAAACAAGGGTCAGAGTTCAATAAAGGCCCATCAGAATTTAGTCTAAATAACAAAGTTGCACTTGAATTTTTCATTTTAAATGATATTTTTTCAGGTACAAATTGCAGATGTGTAGTATATCCTCGTGACCATAATCAGAAAAGAAATCTTTCATATGTGCCGTACATTAACTCATTCGCCCCTGAAGAAACATTTGAACTCCTCCATTTCAAAGGTTGGAATAGTTTATTATGAAATTTCAGGGGTGAATGAGTTAATTTTTACAGGATGTCAAAGTTGCTACTTCGAACAACATGCAATGAAATATGGGGATTTCCCTGACTGTGGTACCAACATTTAGACTATTGAACTAATTTGTTCATCATTAAAGAAGCATAAAACATATTCTCAAAAAGCGGTACAGGTATGCGCTGTAACAAAAAATAAAAATACAATAAGACCAAACAGTTAACAAAGATATGATATACTAATAGTCTGATCACCATAACCCGTAGCCGAGACAGTTAAAGGTCTTGTTTGGTAAAGCCCCCCCCCCCCCCCCAAATCACGAACCATGCAAACAGATGTTTTAGAAGATAAAACACAGATCAATAAATGTTATAAATATATTGAAACAAGATCTGGAAAACTATTTATGGAAAACGAAATCAATACAACAGAAAAAAGACCTGAACCTTTTTTCTTCTAGCATCTGATACACTAGTTAATATAATGATAACGAAATATTGTAGGCCAGAGTGTTTCTAGTATATACCTACTCATCATAGCGATCCACATTTCTACTTTCTGTTTTAGCGTAACGAGTTCCGCGTCTTCACAGAAACAAATAAGCTGATCTTACATACTGCTTCATCAATACCAACCCCCCCAAAAAAACCTTTCACAATAGAAAATTCAAAACAAACATGTTAGACATACTCGAATGATTTACAAGCACGTTTAGGACTGCCTTATATTACCACAGCGCGGCGTGTTTCCATCTTGCTACTATTAATACACACAGCCAAGGTCAAGGCCGACTTGTCCCGGAAGTGAGGCCCAGTACAGGGTAATCCACCTGGAGGCGCGGCAAAGGACTTGTATGCATATATGTATAAGGATAATGTGTACGGTAACTTTGAATGTAAGTTTGAATGTAAGAAAAAGTATTAAATAAGGCAGTGAAAAAATAAAGAAATAATAATATAATTACTAGTAAGTATGAGATAGCCCCCTTGTATGAGGACACATGATTGTGAAGATGCTGATCCCGGGGCTCCCTAACCTCGGCAGTATCCTAAATTTGCTGGGGAAGTAAAATGTTTTAAAAAAAAAAAAAAAAAAAAAAACGATGACAGGAAATCAGGACAATAGGCCAGATAAAAGTTTTATTACTCCTGTTATCTTTTAAAGTAAACAAGCAGGTAGATGTTATAAATACACGCTTATATCACTCACTGAAAAAATTCAATACAAAACGGACATTGCAATTATATATATATATATATAACTACCTATAAATAGATAATAGGAAGTTCCCATATGTACAGATCACATGGCATGCCATTTTTTTACGTACTTGAAGATCGAAGGTAAGGTATGAACAATCATAAATTTCACTGGTTATGAAAATGATTAATTGAATTCAATAGACAACCTTCTGTGATTTTATGTTAGAGCCATTAAGAAGCACAAAGACCATGTATATGTAAGTATATATATATTTAAAATTCAATAGAGAAACATACATGGAGGGCGTGTCTTTTCCCTCTTTTAATAACAACACTTCTCTCCATAAACTGTTCCAGTGAGATATTTTGTTCACGGTCGGTACCTCTCACAACATGGCACCTTCTATTCAGAATAGTCAACGGTGTGTATTAATAAGACAAGATTATGTCCCGTTCACTCAACACAATACCTGCACTAAAATAACTTTCCCCTGATTATGCCTTACTTACTTTCTTCACATGGACTGGAATTCAAGTAATTTAAAAATGTGACATCACACAAATAATGAAGCTACCATATGTTTATTTTCTATTTAAATCACATCAATATATATAATTAACACATGAATGATCTCTCAATAGTGTAGCAGAAAAAATGTCAACATCAGTAAGAAAATATGGTTGTGTGCTCTTCTTGTCATATGGTTTTAACAGAGTGATCTAGATGAATGGGAAATGGGGGCTCTGTGCCAGACCAACCCCTAGCTGATGTGAATGAAGTTTACTGAACCAGAAAAAATTCACATTCCCTGACCTACAGATATGTACTTATTAATCATCAAGAGGGTATACAAATGTATTTGTGTATTGATTTTTGTAATTTAAACATATTAAGGTTTTCCCCATATTTCATTTTAATGCATTGTATGTCTTTCAATGTTAGAAAATTGTACTGGTAATCTTGGCATCCTGATGTCCAAACTTATCTGAGGTATTCTCATGTTTTGTATCGAGATCCATTTTTGTGTATTGTATCAAATTGTTTTGTTTGCCTGTATTGTGATACACTAACATTACTTAAATTTTCAACCAGTTCTTTTTCATCAAACTCTAAAAAAGTGTAGTTATATACCCTAGGTATTTTGATTCCTTCAGTAAAGATGTGGTCCACTGAGCAGTCATACCCAAAAGTACTAGAAATTATACAAAAATATATTTTATTAGTATAAATTTACTATTATTGAAGTCTGTGACTACATAATATATATAGTACTGGGCAAATAAACAACGATTTTTAATTTCAATGGATTTTGGGGCCAAAAAGGGCCCTAACTACATATAGTCCTTCCTATAAACAGTAATTATATGGCATTCTAGGCTTTGACCTTCGTACTGTGAAATACAAATTCATTTGAGCATTACAGGTATCATGATGAATTTGTATATAGATTTTTAATCAAAATTTGTTAAGAAATAAATTTGCTGGAGTAATATGACACCGAATTTGGATGAGACTGGAGATGTTGGACAAGGGGTTACAATTGATATACCATCCAAAAAATAGCAAGGTATAATTAATTAAACTAGAACAGGATGATCCTTCTTGTTTTGTTAAAGTTGTTGATATATAATACAAGTCAAAACTGCCTAGGTATATAAGTATTATAATAAGGCAAGGGTATAAAGCCAACGCCGTGGTTTTCTTAATGGTGGAATAATTTGGTACTTTGCTCCTCGTCTGGATACAAGAAAGTATGCAGGGGATTGAGTAACAAGAGGCCCAGAGAGCCTGTATCACTCACCTGGATAATAAAGCAACCATGGGATTATTCTTATTTCATAAAATCCCTCCAATGGTGGAGAAGAAGAAAGATTTTAAAGATTTAAACCTCTGATTTCCCTATTTGGCCCCGCAACTCTCAGCCCCCAGGGGGTCCAAACCCACCGTTTATACAAAATTTAGTCCCCTTTTCCTAAGTATGCTCCAGATTATATTGGGATAAAATCCCTTAATTCCTATGGTAGAAGAATTATTTCAAAAGTATAACCTCTATTTCCCCTATTGGACCCCACCTCTCTGCCCCAAGGTGGGGGGGCCACACACATCGTTTATACAAAATTTAGTCCTCCTTGCCAAAGGATGCTCCAGACCAAATTAGGATAAAATCCCTTTATCCCTAAGATAGAAGAAGAATTTTGAAGGTTTTACCTCTATGTCCCCTATTGGGGCCACCCTTCTGCCCCCAGGGGGGCCACACCCACCGTTTGATGCTCCATACCAAATTAGGATAAAATCCTGTAATCCTTACGGTAGAAGAAGGATTTTAAAGGTTTGGGTCCCTCAACTCTGCCCCCAGGGGGTCCACCCCCACCGTTTATACAACATTGAGTCCCCTTGACCCAACAATGCTCCAGACCAAATTGGGATGAAATCCCTTAATCCCTATGGTAGAAGAAGGATTTAAAAGCTTTTACCTGTATTTCTCCTATTAGGCCCACCCTTCTGCCCCCAGGGGGGCCACACCCACCGTTTGATGCTCCAGACCAAATTAGGATAAAATCCCGTAATCCTTACGGTAGAAAAAGGATTTTAAAGGTTTGGGTCCCTCAACTCTGCCCCCAGGGGGTCCACCCCCACCGTTTATACAACATTGAGTCCCCTTGACCCAACAATGCTCCAGACCAAATTGGGATGAAATCCCTTAATCCCTATGGTAGAAGAAGGATTTAAAAGCTTTTACCTCTATTTCTCCTATTGGACCCCACTTCTCTGCCCCCAGGGGGGCCACACCCACCTTTTATACAAAATTGAGTCCCCTTGGTCTAAGGATGCTCCAGATCAAACTAGGATAACATTCCTTAATCCCTACGGTAGGGTAAGAATTTTTAAAGGTTTTTACCTCTATTTTCCTTATTGGGCCCCTACCCTCTGCCCCCAGGGGGGCCACACCTACCGTTTATACAAAATTGAGTCCCCTTGACCCAACAATGCTCCAGACCAAATTGGGATGAAATCCCTTAATCCCTATGGTAGAAGAAGGATTTAAAAGCTTTTACCTCTATTTCTCCTATTGGACCCCACTTCTCTGCCCCCAGGGGGGCCACACCCACCTTTTATACAAAATTGAGTCCCCTTGGTCTAAGGATGCTCCAGATCAAATTAGGATAACATTCCTTAATCCCTACGGTAGGGTAAGAATTTTTAAAGGTTTTTACCTCTATTTTCCTTATTGGGCCCCACCCCTCTGCCCCCAGGGGGGCCACACCTACCGTTTATACAAAATTGAGTCCCCTTTGCCCAAGGATGCTCCAGATCAAATAAGGATAAAATCCCTTTATCCCTACGGTAGAGTAAGAATTTTAAAGGTTTTTACCTCTATTTTCCCTATTGGGCCCCACCCCTCTGCCCCCAGAGGGGCCACACCCACTGTTTATACAAAATTGTGTCCTCTACCCCCAAGGATGCTCCAGACTAAATTAGGATAAAATCCCTTAATTCCTAGAGTAGAAGATGGATTTTAAAGGTTTTTACCTCTATTTTCCCTATTGGGCCCCACCCCTCTGCCCCCAGGGGGGCCACACCTACCATTTATACAACACTGAGTCCCCTTGACCCAACAATGCTCCAGACCAAATTGGGATGAAATCCCTTAATCCCTATGGTAGAAGAAGGATTTAAAAGCTGCTTTTACCTCTAATTCTCCTTTTGGACCCCACTTCTCTGCCCCCAGGGGGGCCACACCCACCTTTTATACAAAATTGAGTCCCCTTGGTCCAAGGATGCTCCAGATCAAATTAGGATAACATTCCTTAATCCCTACGGTAGGGTAAGAATTTTAAGGTTTTTACCTCTATTTTCCCTATTGGGCCCCACCCCTCTGCCCCCTGGGGGGCCACACCTACCGTTTATACAAAATTGAGTCCCCTTTGCCCAAGGATGCTCCAGATCAAATAAGGATAAAATCCCTTTATCCCTACGGTAGGGTAAGAATTTTAAGGTTTTAACCTCTATTTTACCTATTGGGCCCCACCCCTCTGCCCCCAGGGGGGCCACACCCACTGTTTATACAAAATTGTGTCCTCTACCCCCAAGGATGCTCCAGACTAAATTAGGATAAAATCTCTTAATTCCTACAACAGAAGATGGATTTTAAAGGTTTTACCTCTATTTCCCCTATCAGGCCTCCCTCTCTATTCCCAGGGGGGGGGGGGGGGGCCACACCTACCACTTATACAAAATTGAGTCCCCTTGGCCTAAAGATGCTCCAGACCAAATTTAGTCTAAATCTACTGGGCCGTTCAGGACAAGTAGTGTTTAAAGGAAAAGTTGACGGACGGGCAGGTGAGCTAAAAATGAGTACATCAGAAAGCATTATAATTGTGCATATCTCTTTTTAATAGATAATTTGAGATACCGGAGGATTCCAGCACCTCAGCACATGCAACAAGGATGGAGAAGAGACTCAACATTCTGAGAGTAGATGGCCTGCAAGAACATCAGGAAAAACAGACATTTGACCGAAAAGTACAACAGAAAATTGTATTTATAGTATACGGAAATCATGTGGAAGAAATAGAAAATGCAGAAGAAATCCAGAAAACTTTAACACAGAAGAACTATAAATCCACTCTATCTTCTGGTAACAAACCAAGTGAAGTTTTCGTAACCATCAATGATGCAATTGAAACATCTTCTTATAAAGTTACAGTATTGGTGTTTCCTCATCTACAAACAACACTTGTGCTGCGTAAGCTAATAGTATACCCGTTACTTGAAAATGATATGTGCAGAGTTATAATGGTAAAAATATCACTGTTAAATAAAGTTCCAGAATACGCCAAACCTTTACGTACTTTAGATCTGGCCCAAGACAATCTAAAATGGTGGCCACAGTTACGAAAATTAATTGGTCGATGTGCCGGAGAAATGAGAGCTGTTGTTGCCAGAGTTCACAGTTCTCAGCAACTGAAAGAGTTCAATAATATTTTGGATCGGCTTGATTTGGAAATCTCACATGCATCACTTGAAAATCAAATGTATGCAAGAGGGCTGGCAAGAAAACAGCTCTGTGTTACCAAATCTACAAGATTAATCTCGAAAGTGAAAAGGAAACACCAGTGTCATGCCAGCAATCCCATATTGGTTCGATTTAGGAATGAAACCAACATCAGCCAGCAAGGCAAAACTAGAACACAGCATGCCGAGATTCCAACACTGGAACATACTCAGGAAAACTTACCACGGGCATGTACAGAAAATCTTCCATATGGGAAAGATGCACATGTCTTCGTCATTGATGGACACACAGAGGAGGAGAAAAGGCTAGCTAAAAAGATGACTACGATGTTACAGCTTCATGGTATTATATGCATCAGCCGTGATGAACTCCAAACCACGGAGGATCTGTTACAGGCCATGATGACTTCCGTTAAAAGGTCTGTGGTAACCATCATCCTGAACTTCACTAAATTGTCTGGCATTTCATCCATTGTAGCGGACTACGCATTTCATCCTGATCGCTTTGACAAGAAGGCAGTAGTAATTCCTGTAATATTTTCCAGAAAAGAACAAAAAGAAGAAAAAAATCTGGAAAGTTCCAGCCCAACAAAAGACATGAAAGACGTGATGAGACCAGACAAAAGTCCGCTGGAGAAGAGACGAGAGCGACAACTGGACCTCACAACAGGCCAAGGTGTGCTGATGGAGGACGAGGATTGGCAAAACAAAGTTCTTGGTTACATCCAGGAGGTTCAACGACGGCAATGCCTCAAAATCGCACCCGAGCAAAAACACGCAGAGAAATGTAGAATTCAGCATGTTGTAGATGACCTACAGTTGGTCGTCAAAACACCATCATACCGAGCCAAAAAGCAGCTTTACCTCGCATGTTTGGAAAAACGACCAGATTTGTGTCGTTTTCTTTCAAGTCATAATAGATGCAGTGTACAGAGTCTACCAAACAGTGTAAGTGTTAATAACCATCAAGATAATATTCTATCAATACGGTAGAAGTAGTTGGTAATCTTAGCATTTCAAAGTATTGATAAATGTCATATCACTTGGTAAACTGCATCATTCTAGACATATGAAACTCTCAAAATTCAAACTTTACTGGAATTGTTTTTTATAATAGTAATTCTTTTTAAACCCTTCATGGCACTGAAACAGACATTGTCTGATCTCACAACAAACACCTACTGTGACATAAGAAATGGTATCTATTCTGTTCAGGGTAGCAGCTCAATGCTAACAGATACAGGAAGTGACATCAGCATCCAGAGTGAAAAAAATATACCAATGAAAACAAAGGTAAATATTGATAAAATCAGTGTTGTTTTGCATCTGTGTTGTAAATACACTAAAATAATTTAAAAATTATAAAAAAAAAATAATTATGGGCAGGGCGGTTATCTATTTTGACTGGTACAGATTTTCAAGACACTCAGTTCCTGTCAAATCCAAAACGGCTTTGGGTACTTGTTACAGCTAAAAGTTCAATATTCACAATTAATAGTACCAAGATATGATGTTATGAAACATTCACATTCATTTCATTGGACTGTGTGGTTCAACAGACTGTCATCCCTGTTTACAGGCAGAGGGTGCTGAGCAGACACCTAGGGGAAGGCCATCGTCACAGGCAGAGGGTGCTGAGCAGACACCTAGGGGAAGGCCATCGGCACAGGCAGAGGGTGCTGAGCAGACACCTAGGGGAAGGCCATCGTCACAGGCAGAGGGTGCTGAGCAGACACCTAGGAGAGGGCCATCGTCAGTTCCACTGAGTAAAAATCAAAATCCTGAAGACAACAACCACCCAAAACGATATCAAACACCTGAACCATACGCCAGTCGAGCACCTGAACCACATGCCACCCAACCTAGTCGGGTAATAATGTTCTTCTTTACAAGAAACTATTTCATGTGATGGTTGCAGGGTAATACAGATTTCTTGTGAGCTCAAATGTAACATGGCAAAGTATTGCAAGGCAATCCATATACCCACACCGGTAATGATTTCTATGTTTAACAAACAGTACACTTATGTCAGGATGTACCTACTGTTATGAAAGTAACCCGATACATACTTCTTGCACTCCACCATCCCAATATGTCTTTGTACACCAAATCTGGATACTTCAGGTGAAATAGTATAGAAGATATGCCCCAGACAAACATTTTCAAAAGTAAGGGTTAAAGGTCAAGTCATAGGTCACAGTTACCTAATTCTTGCACTCTGCCATCCAAAGATGTCCTTGTATGCCAAATCTGGATACTCCAGGTGAAAAAGTACAGAAGACAAGCCCCGGACAAACTTTTTCAAAATTGAAGGTCATAGGTCAAGTCATAGGTCATAGTAACCTGCTTCTTGCACTCTGCCATCCCAAGATGTCCTTGTACACCAAATATGGCCTGGTTACTCCTCCAGGTGAAACAGTACAGAAGATATGCCCCGGACAAACTTTTCTAAAACTTAAGGTCAAAGGTCAAAGGTCAAGTCATAGGTCCGAGTTACCTAATTCTTGCAAGTTGTAGATGACCTACAGTTGGTTGTCAAAACACCATCATACCGAGCCAAAAAGCAGCTTTACCTCGCATGTTTGGACTTTCAAGTCATAAGGGAGGCAGTGTACAGAGTCTACCAAACAGTGTAAGTGTTAATGAACACCAAGAAAACATAGTAGAAATAGTTGGTAATCTTAGCATGACTTGGTAAACTTTCAAGAAATGTTGTCAAACAAGGTCATTCTAGACATATGAAACTCCCAAAATTCAAACCTTACTGGGACTGTTGTTATAAGAAATGGTATCTATTCTGTTCAGGGTAGCAGCTCATTGTTAACAGCGAGTGACATTAACATCCACAGTGAAGAAAATGAACATATGAAAACAAAGGTGAGTATTGATATAATCAGTGTTGTTTTGCATCCGTGTTTGTAAATACACTAAAATAATTTCATGACAAGCTATATCTAGATTATTTCTTTTCTTTGGTCTTCGAAATGTTTATAGATTTTGGGATGTTGAACTGTTTCATTCTTTTTCTTTGTTGATAGGGGGGCTGTAATGGGCAGTTATCTATTTTTACTGGTACATATTTTCAAGACTGTTCCTGTCAAATCCAGAACGTCTTTGGATACTTGTTACAGCTCTAGAAATATTCCATTAAATATACACAGAAAAACTCAAATTTTAATAATCACAATTAATAGTACCAAGATTTGATGTTACGAAACATTCACATTCACTTAATTGGACTGTGTTATACAACAGACTGTCATCCCTGTTTACAGGCAGAGGGTGCTGAGCAGACACCTAGGAGAAGGCCATCGTCAGTTCCACTGAGTAAAAATCAAAATCCTGAAGACAACAACCACCCAAAACGATGTCAAACACCTGAACCATACGCCAGTCGAGCACCTGAACCACAGGCCACCCAATCTAGTCGGGTAATAATTTACTTACTTTACACAACAGTATTTCGTATGATGGCTGCAGGGTTTTAGATATTTCTTGAGCTCAAATGTTAAGAATTATGGCACCCTTTTGTTTGTGGGATGATGGTTATGAGGAGCTTCTTCAGAAAAATATCAATCATGCATACAATATCAGCTTTTCTTTTTGGACTTTTTATTTATTTGCTTTAAAGATTAAAAGTTCTCAGCTTTTGGTCCTACATAATTCATCCCTCTCTAGCATCTAATGCACAGATATAAATGTTACCTTTCTGCAGAAAGAATTGATACCCGGATGGGAACATGAATGCAGAATTGTTGATCAGTTGAAGAAAACATAATATTTTTATATTATTCCTTTTCTGGTTTTGGAAAAATTAATAGCCAACTGCAAAGTTAAGGTCCCCCATCATCTGCCATCTAATTTCAGTATTGCAACTCTCAACATTGTTTTCACATAATGCTGTCTAAAAGGAGAAGAAACAGACACCTGATGTGCTGTACCTTGGTTTCTTTCCTGACGGTACATCAAACCGATCCATCTATCCTGGCCGAATCACGGCCGATCTAGTACAGAGTACTTGTTGTTATACGATACGCCTAGATCATACTCATAACTCGAGGACTTTTATGGGGTTAATGTGAAAGGTTTTTGAAGTGCACTTAGCATTTTAGGAAGTTTGTTAGAACTGTTCAGTTTTTCTGACTCCTGCATGTCCCTTTTCTAAAATGTCCATCATTGTCACTTATAACTATTTTTGTCGTGATGATTCTTCTCAATACTTTCAATGACACTGTCTATAAATCAGGATAATGATCCCTTGGCTCATCCTTGAGGACGTTCTCCTACCTTCCCAGTGTAGAAGAGATTTTAGATTGTGTCTGTCAATCCTGTGTCTGGTTTTAGCATTTCAGCTATCAGTATTGTACACACGTAATAGAGACAGATCTTGCCTATACGGTAATCTCTCATCTCTTCTACCTCTCCTCCTGCCTATGACTAAGGACACCAGTTCATATTTACACCATCACATGTACAGTGATTGAAGGAGCAGGATAAAGGATAGCAGGCCAATGGATAGAGGAATGAATGAACAGACTGATGGAAATATACTTGAGATGGAAAATAATGGAAACAAGGAACATAAGTATAGCAAGTTTGGTGAACATAGGTATAAAATAGCAAGGAAGTTATGCTCTGGACAAACTTTGGTATACCGGTATATAAAATGTGAACAAAGGGACATAACTCTGTACTTAGTTAAATATGAGATCCAACTTCAGTACCTTACATGATATAAAAGTATAGCAAGATTGGTGAATGTAAGTGAAATGGGAAGGAATTTGAAGTTATGTTCTGAAGAAACATTGGTGAACAAGGGACCTGAACTGTGTATAATGGGGCACAAGACCCAATTGCAATACAAAACATGAAGCAACACCTTTCTAAGACACATAAGTGAAGCAAGTGTGGTGCCCTTAGGTGATATCACAAGGAAGTTTTGCTGCAGACAAAGTCTTGTTGTTGCCAAGCCAGTCAGGCTCCATACCATAATATGTCCAGTCATGTATAGATATTGATAAGCAATCATATAAAAAGTCAGTTAAAAGTTAAAATGTAAGACCTGTTTTACCCTACTTTACACAACAGTTTTTTATCATTTGCCAATCTAGAAGATGCCGGTGCCAGTAAACATTTGGGGTCAGACACTGTAGTGAAGATGTACCCACACGTTGGTTATACTGCCTTAAGTTCAAGGGTGTGAGGCATGAACGGCAGATGCCACATTTGTTGTTGCTTTTTAACCAAACAATACTCATACACTGGATTTGTATGACAATCGGCAGATTATGGTTTCAATTCTCTCATCATTCAGCAGGGCAGATGCCATCTTGGTACTGATTTCAGTCAGTGTACCAGCAATGCTTTTAGTACTGCAATACTAGAGTAGCATTGATTATATGCCTGAATAGTATCAATATGTCATTATAACGTGCGATGGTAGTGCGATGCTTGGTTGTTTTGGATATATCTCATCTTGACACAAGCTAAGGTCATTTGATAAGAGTGCCTGCTGAATACAGGGCAACTCCATGCTGATTCTAAAGTGATATCCCACTGAAATGTTACAACTTGGACATGATAGCATTATCATCATAATCATCATGAGTTTGAAGTGTTAATTGCTAGGGAACATGTTACAGGCTGTGAATTTAAGACTTTCATTGATAAAGTTACAGTTTCAAATGAAGACCATCAACTGAAGAGCTCCAAAGCTTGAGATGTAAACCTTAAACTATATCTTTCTGAATGTATAATTCTGTTTTTGATTCAGAAGTGATCAATCTTTCTGAGTTGGGATTCAACATGAATATTTATAATTGTATAGAGGAAGATGATTCTGCAGTGCTGTGGCTATTCCAACAGAAGTCAGTGAAGTGACTTGGAGACAATGCCAGCTTTCCATTGGTAGCTCTCATACACGAATCAAAAGGACTTCCTGTGGTTCATCATTTTGTTTTCCAACATTATTGTTGGCATTTTCGTCAAAGAAGATGTTAGTGGGTTGTGCACACCTTCCTCTTAACTAATGATGGGCGAATAACACAATCAACTTTATTGATTCACATATCAGATAGCCCAGTATAATGACTGTAGCTTTGTTCATGGATAAACATCATATGAGGTTTTATTTGAGTCTTTTTGAACTCAAACTGATTCGCGAATTCTGTTGTATATAAATAGATTGAGTTACGGGAGGAAATGCCCAATGGGCCTGCATCGCTCAACTGGTATAAATCTCACACTTGTGACCTTAAAAGTGGACTAAAATAAAGCTAAAGGCAAAATATCGTTGTCTTGACTCAAAGTCATTCAAAAGAACATATTAAAAGATTTAAACACATTCTATTTGACAAACTTTATATCCCTTTATCCCAGAACACAACTTGCCAAACATCAACACCCTAGACCTTTTGTTTATTGAAAAGATGATTTTTAAGGTTTATACACCTGATGTGATCTTGAAAGAATGTCAAGGTCATTCACATGAACAAACTTCTAAAACTTTAGCCTTATTTTTACTTAGGAAAAGTCTTTTTAAGTTTTTGACATATCTGACCCCTGTGACCTTGAATATGGGTCAAGGTAATTAATGTTAAAAACTTGGTAGCCTTTCATGCCAGTATGTTATTAGCCAAATATCATCACCCTTGACCTTTTGGTTATTCAGAAGACTTTTAAAGATTTCACCATATTTGACCAAATATCATCATCCTGGACCTTTTTGCTATTCAGAAGTTGTTCAATTTTTTTTTTAAGACAATTGACCCCTGTGACCTTGAATATGAATGAAGGTCATTCATTTGAACAAACTTGGTAGCCCTTCATCCCAGTTTGCTTCTGGCCAAACATCATCATTCTAGGCCCAGTTTGCTTCTGGCCAAACATCATCACCCTAGGCCTTTTGGTTATTAAGAAGAAGTTGTTTAAAGTAAAATCTTGATGCCGGACGCCTGACGGACGACAAACGCCGCACCACAGGTTAACAGTTAGATCCATTACCTTTTATATCTTACAAGGCTGACAGACACATTAAGTATCTTTAATCAATCCTAATTTGGTAAGCCTTCTATCCAGCCAGTGATGTAGGGAACTTTCCTGTACAACGGTGCCTGTGATCCAGTCCCCTTATAATCAACTACTACTGCTGGCCATGGAAGTAGACAGATTATCTAGGATTCACAGCAAATTAAATTCCATAAAAAAATATTAAACACAGGAATTTACCTTAAGCAGTGGTACATCTCCAAAGTCTAGCCATTCATTGATTTCTGCCTCGGACGTCAGGATTGCCTGTTGGGTACAAATAAATTTCCAAAATAAATATAAACATGTTCTTAACATAATGGCCTTAAAAACTTTTAATGGTAATATTTCTCTGCCGCACATGAACTTGGAATTACAAACAAAAAAAACAAAAAACAAAAAGACAATCATTGTAAAACTGATCATATCTACCAGTACCAGAATTTCTTGTATAAAACATCCATTAAATGATTTTAGAAAACCTTTTCAAAGTTTTTTTTCATACAATGTAAATCATTGATATGTTATTCATTACGATCAGTAACAATTTTATCATGTTATACATTAGGTAACATACATACTGGCATTCTGTGGTGTAGCCAGTCCATGGCAGGAGAGGCGGCCACTGTAATCACACTGTACGTGTACAGAGGTGGTGACCCCTGCAATTCAAGATCAGACAACTCTTGTGATATTCATAACCATATAGATAGCGGCTTTTAGAAGTGTAACAAGAAGGCACAGTCACCACTATCCCCTCTGTAGAGGGTGGCACGGTAGTCTAGTGGTAGGACGCCAGGCTCGTGACCGAAGGGTTGCGGGTTCGAGTCACGTCACGGCACTGTGTTGTATCTTTGAACAAGATACTTTACTCTGCTTGTTCCAGTCTACTCAGCTGTAAATGAGTATGTGGTTGGGCAGTGCTAGAATTGTAGAATGCTAGCTGTGAGCGCCGAAATGGCAGCACCGGCTGTGATAAAGCGGTATATAAGGATCTCGAAGTATTATTATGTCATTATCATGTATATAAATCAGGAGTGGATGCCCAAGTTACAATGTAGCATATATTATACAACTGTGAAAGGTACAGGGCACTACAATACATAATACTAAACCAACGGTATGAAGCAATAGTGCAAACATGGGTATCATTTTTAATGCTTCAAAACGTCGAACATGTATACACTTATATTCTTTTTAAAAAATAATCTATGTAATTATTCTAGGTGCCTCGATATTGACAAAATAATTCTTCATGACCTAATGCAAGAATTAGACCTCATAACCAAATCACCAAATCACAAAATATTAATCGAATTCTGTAAGTGTTAACCAATTAACACTTTAATACAGTTATCCAGATATATGAACTCCGCAACTTTGGTTTAGCAACATAAAAGGAATTTTAAGGAAATCAACGAAACATGAAATTTTAGACAAATTCATTAACTGCAAATAAATCCAAACTGCACCTTTGGTGCACAGTATTGTTCATGTGCCACTTGTAGTCTACCAGATACTGACCTGACAGATTTTGTTATTGAACACTAACAGACGGACAAACCCTGTTACCATAGACAACTTTGGTGCTACTTGTAGTCTACCAGATACTGACCTGACAGATTTTGTTATTGAACACTAACAGACGGACAAACCCCGTTACCAAAGCCAACTTTGGTGCCACTTGTAGTCTACCAGATACTGACTGGACAGATTTTGTTATTGAGCACTAACAGACGGACGAACCCTGTTACCATAGACAACTTTGGTGCCACTTGTAGTCTACCAGATACTGACCTTACAGATTTTGTTATTGAACACTAACAGACGGACGAACCCTGTTACCATAGCCAACTTTGGTGCCACTTGTAGTCTACCAGATACTGACCTGACAGATTTTGTTATTGAGCACTAACAGACGGACAAACCCCGTTACCATAGCCAACTTTGGTGCCACTTGTAGTCACAAGTACCAGGCGTTATTTCCTGTCTACATATTTATACCTACATCAGGAGGCGACCAGACGTCAAACACACCTGCCATCGTAAGAAGACGTTTGCTCGGGATATTTTCACCTGGAAAATACATTACAGTGATTTTAAGGATTTTTATGTTAATAACAGAACGGAATGATTTTACTTCGATACAATTTCTAGCCTTAAAATGGGTTGTTTTACCACATAAATCTGTATGATGCTCAGAGAAAACTTTTTCTAAAGGTACCGGTGCAGAATACTGCCAATCACCTTTGCTTCAAGATAATTACTGGTAATCAATTCATCAAAGTGTTAATTTGTCATCTGAAGCAGCATCAACAAAAAACAAAATGTATCCACATGTACTCACATATGAAGACAGACAGCACTCTATTCATAAAACTAATTTACAAAATGGAAAAATTTAATTGGGAGAGAACCAACGTCATAGTTGTCCACGGTTTTAGGTAGGTAGTTACAGGAATCAAAGATGGATACCCATCAGTATTCAGTAGAACCCCCAATGGACAGTTTCTAGTTTGTTCTAGAATCGATCAACACAGTTACTGCAATGAGATAGTGAGACAAATATTACCAAACCTGTGTCATCATTTCCCTGCTTGGTGGAAATGTTCGGGCTTTTTGTATCTCCATCACCATGATCAGGAAAGTCAGAAATATCTGAGGTGAACTTCACATTTGATTCAAAGTTCACATACTGAAGCAAGTCATTGGGCTCCGTTTTTATTTCCTTTTTGATTTCACATTCTTGTTTGACATCTTTCAAATCTTGAACAGTCTTAACATCTCCCTCTTTATTCCGATCTTCAAATTCTCTGGAATCTGAAACAATGTCTGTTATTTTATCTGCTGGCTCCTCCTTCATAGCTAGCCAATCAGAATCCTCCATTTTTACTTCCTGTTTGATTTTACCATTATCCACATTCTCATCTTTTGTACCTGATGATGATCGTGGGAAATATATAAAATACGGTTGCTTTTGGTCTTTGTCTCTTTTCCATTCATAGAATCTGAAAACAAACAATTCAGGAACATTTACATCATATAAGCTAGCTTAACACTCTGAAATAAAATAAAATTTAATTGGGCGCCATTTTGAGGCACTTATCTCGCTCCTCCAGCTTTGTTACAAAAGAGACTCACGAAAAAGCGAGTTAATATGAGAAAACCAAGTTTAAAATGAAACATTGTCACCCTCTATAAATATTTGTAGTTTATGATAATTGTCTGTATTACCGTTGTAACCAACAGTCACCTAAAGCTGATCAGGAAGTTTGGAAGATAGGGACCAACTTTTACTCAGAAAAATCTACGCCCCTGTCCTGTGTTAGAACGCAACCAGTAAGTATTATCTTCATTGTTTCAGTGGATTTTCGTGTGTTTCTTACCGGTTCAGATGCTTCCATGGGGTTTCTGATAAAAATAGCTATCACACAATCTTCGTTTTCATTCGATTACCCAATGAGGTCAGACTAAATATGTGTGCATGTACCTTCTATAACCGCGAGTACCGCAGGGCGGAACAATATACACCTGTCGAATGCCATATAGTGTTATATACTTTCTAACATTGAAATAAGATCTGCATCATTCTACGAGTGGTTAGCTGACATGCTATAAAAAATGTAGAAGATAATCTCCGAATAAAAAATCAAATACTGAAATGAACAAAGGGCTTTTGCAAAAATCGTTGAATCAAAATTCTTTTAAAGAAGACACAACTTCATATCATGATTATATTGCATACCAAGTTTCAAAGAGATCCGTTGAAAAATGTAGGAGGAGATTGCCGGACAAAAATCAAATACTGAAATGAACAAAGGGCAATTACTTTTGCAATTATTGTTGAATCAAAATTCTTTTCACGGAAACACAACAACATATCATGATTATTTACCCTACTAAGTTCCAAAAAATATCCGTCAAAAAATGTAGGAGATCTCCAGACAAAAAATCAAATACTGAAATGAACGAAGGGCAATAACCTTTGCAAAAATTGTTGAATCAAAATTCTTTTAAGGGAGACACAACTTCATATCATGATTATAATGTATACGAAGTTTCAAAGAGATCAGTCGAAAAATGAAGGAGGAGATTGCCGTACAAACAAAAGTGTACGCCAGACAGCCGGCCGTACAACCCCATACCATAATACTTCCGTCAAATTTGACGGGTGTATAATAATCTTTGTTCCTGCTTCACTAACCTCACAGATATTTTAATTGAATGTAAACCCATATAATTTATGGGTGGGCATTATATATATATATAAAAAAATATCTCCAGCTTGAGCAAGGTACTAGGAATGTATTATCATATCGCTCTGAAATCTGAAGTCTAATGAGGTTGGTAAAGCAGCATTGTTGATGTTTTGATTGATACCCAAGATTTTCATGAAAAGGACAGAATACCTTGTGGAAATCACTGAATCCTGCGAAGATATGTTTCTACCATTTTAAAGACTTCGACAACCTTTTATCCTCTTAAATGAGTGAAACCCCCATATATACCAGGTTATTAAACATATCAACAACCAACTCAATGTTCAGTCTAGTACTACGGTAAGCTGCTACAGAGATACACACACCCTTACCCATCAGCTAGCACCACACATCCTTATACCCATCAGCTAGCACCCCACATCCTTACCCATCAGCAAGCACCACACACCCTTACCCATCAGCTAGAAACACATCCTTACTCATCAGCTAGCACCACACACCCTTACCCAATAGCTAGCACCACACATCCTTACCCATCAGGAAGCACCACACACCCTTACCCATCAGCTAGCGCCACACATCCTTACCCATCAGCTAGCACCCCACATCCTTACCCATCAGCAAGCACCACACCCCCTTACCCATCAGCTAGCACCACACCCTTACCCACCAGCTAGCACCACACACCCCCATACCCATCAGCTAGCACCACACATCCTTCCCCATCAGCTAGCACTACACATCCTTACCCATCAGCTAGCACCACCCACCCTTACCCACCAGCGAGCTCCACACACCCTTACCCATCAGCTAGCACCACACCTCCTTACCCATCAGTTAGCACCACACACTCTTACCTATCAGCTAGCACCACACACCCTTACCCATTAGCTAGCACCACACACCCTTCCCCATCAGGTAGCACCACACATCCTTACCCATCAGCTACCACCACACATCCTTATACCCATCAGCTAGCACCCCACATCCTTACCCATCAGCAAGCACCACACCCCCTTACCCATCAGCTAGCCCCACCCCCTTACCCATCAGCTAGCACCACACCCCCTTCCCCATCAGCTAGCACCACACATCCTTATACCCATCTGCTAGCACCACACATCCTTACCCAACAGCTAGCACCACACATCCTTACCCATCAGCTACCACCACACATCCTTATACCCATCAGCTAGCAACACACATCCTTACCCATCAGCTAGCACCACACACCATTACCCATCAGCTAGCACCACACATCCTTCCCGCTCAGCAAGCACCACATACCATTACTCATCAGCTAGCACCACACATCCTTACCACTCAGCTAGCACCACACATCATCCTTACCCATCAGCTAGCACCACACATCCTTATACCCATCTGCTAGCACCACACATCCTTACCCAACAGCTAGCACCACACATCCTTGCCCATCAGCTAGCACCACACACCCTTCCCCATCAGGTAGCACCACACATCCTTACCCATCAGCTACCACCACACATCCTTCCCCATCAGCCAGCACCACACATCCTTACCCATCAGCTAGAACCACACACCATTACCCATCAGCTAGCACCACACATCCTTAACCATCAGCTAGCACCACACACCCTTACCCAATAGCTTGCACCACACATCCTTACCCATCAGCTAGCCCCACACATCCTTAACCATCAGCTAGCACCACACACCCTTACCCAATAGCTAGCACCACACATCCTTACCCATCAGTTAGCACCACACACCCTTACCTATCAGCTAGCACCACACCCCCTTACCCATCAGCTAGCCCCACCCCCTTACCCATCAGCTAGCACCACACCCCCTTACCCATCAGCTAGCACCACACATCCTTATTCATCAGCTAGCACCACACACCCTTACCCATCAGCAAGCACCACACACCCTTACCCATCAGCTAGCAACACATCCTTACTCATCAGCTAGCACCACACACCCTTACCCATTAGCTAGCACCACACACCCTTACCCATCAGGTAGCACCACACATCCTTACCCATCAGCTACCACCACACATCCTTATACCCATCAGCTAACACCACACATCCTTACCCATCAGCTAGCACCCCACACCCTTACCCATCAGCTAGCTCCACACATCCTTATACCCATCAGCTAGCACCACACAGCCTTACCCATCAGCTAGCACCACACATCCTTACGCATCAGCTAGCACCACACATCCTTACCCATCAGGAAGCACCACACACCCTTACCCATCAGCTAGCCCCACACACCCTTACCCATCAGCTAGCCCCACACACCCTTACCCATCAGCTAGCACCACACATCCTTACCCATCAGCTAGCACCACACACCCTTACCAATCAACTAGCACCACACACCCTTACCCATCAGCTAGCACCACACACCCTTACCCATCAGCTAGCACCACACATCCTTACCCATCAGCTAGCACCACACATCCTTACCCATCAGCTAGCACCACACACCCTTACCCATCAGCTAGCACCACACATCCTTACCGCTCAGCAAGCACCACATACCATTACTCATCAGCTAGCACCACACATCCTTACCACTCAGCTAGCACCACACACCCTTACCTATCAGCTAGCACCACACACCCTTACCTATCAGCTAGCACCACACACCCTTACCGCTCAGCAAGCACCACATACCATTAATCATCAGCTAGCACCACACATCCTTCCCACTCAGCTAGCACCACACATCATCCTTACCCAGCAGCTAGCACCACACATCCTTCCCCATCAGCTAGCACCACTCACCCTTACCCATCAGCTAGCACCACTCACCCTTCCCCATCAGCTAGCACCACACACCCTTACCGCTCAGCAAGCACCACATTCCATTACTCATCAGCTAGCACCACACATCCTTGCCCATCAGCTAGCACCACTCACCCTTCCCCATCAGCTAGCACCACACCCCCTTACCCATCAGCTAGCACCACACAGCCTTACCCATCAGCTAGCACCATACATCCTTACACATCAGCTAGCACCACACATCCTTACCACCCAGCTAGCACCACCCATCATCCTTACCCATCAGCTAGCACCATACATCCTTACACATCAGCTAGCACCACACATCCTTACCCCTCAGCTAGCACCACACATCATCCTTACCCATCAGCTAGCACCACGCTCCCTTACCCATCAGCTAGCACCACACCCTTACCCATCAGCTAGCACCTCACATCCTTACCCATCAGCTAGCACCTCACATCCTTACCCATCAGCTAGCACCACACATCCTTACCCATCAGCTAGCACCACACACCGTCTGCCTTTGTCCAGTGGCACTTTGTAGGTTCGTTTCTCCAGCATCCCTTCTGCCCGGCAGTTATTTGTCTCATAGCTGACCTTCTTGGGGTCACCTTTGTGCCAAGAGGGAACCAGTCCCCACATCATTGGCTGGATGACACGGTCAGACAGGCCCTCCAGTTCCCCCAAGTAGTGTCTACTGGACAGCAAGACAGGCCTACAGGATAAAACACTTATGTATGACAGTTTTTGCTTACACAGTTGAATAATTGGCTGAAGGGGCATTTAATCAAAACAACGTAGGTCATGATGGTGGGCTAAAAAGCAACATAACTGTTGTACACATTCTGCGGGAGAATTCCAAAATTATTCACATTATTTCAAATACTGAAAAACAGCATTGCCAGATCAAAGACTGACATACATATAATTTGGTAACCAGTTGACCTGGATGGAAGGTGTTTCGGGAAATGGAGTGTTTGGGATATATCATTTCCTTATGTGCTGAAAAAAGGAGATGGACATTTATACAAGGGGCACGAGCATGCAAACACAGTATTTTTAGAAACACATGTACATTATGAAAAACAAATTCCCGCACATAAAAGATGCAAATGGAGCTTTGATAATCGAGCCACCTTCGATTCATTCCCAGTAAAAATGGCAGGATTGTGAGATCACTGAGAGGATTTTATTACTAGTGGGGATTATCTGCTGACAAATAAAGAAAATTTAAAATTTTCAGTTTGTTTAGGTTTTTTTAATTGTTTGTTGTGTTTGTCAACATGAAACATCACCATCATACCTACATATACCTTCACTGTATCAGACAATGTTGTCAGACAACACATTATCTACTTTCTAGGTGGTAATCCTTGATATTTTTGCCATACAAGAACTTAACTGATTTGGCATCCAGAAATTACTGACAACAGATTTAGTATGTGAACAAGAGTTACCCGGTAAGTCAAACACAATGTGGTGGAATCACTTTGGTAAATGGAACTTTTGTTTGCTTCATTGTTTTTATCAATGATTACACTTATTGTTTTAAATTATTATTATGTAATCGCAAAATGTATGAAAAAAATCCAACATGAAAATTATCAAAACTGCAGGGTTACCTAGCTTATTCAAACAAGTTATATGAAAATAAGAAAGATAACTGGTTAAAACCTGTGTCTATCTCCAAATGTAAGAGATTGTAGCCATTCTGTATGGAAACTCCATAAAGGAAGGGAGATAACTTATTCCTATTTTGTCAAAACTTTCCAGGAAATCAGGGAATGTTGTTCAAAGATAAAAAGATATTTGAGAGTATCTTTATTCAATTCCCAAATTAAGAATGTTTTCACTTACCAGATAAACTTAACAGTATGCTAGTGATACCAATACTGTGCATACATTTTCCTGTTATTTTCGTGAAAAGTTTTCATGCATTTTAAGCAGGCAAACAAAGCAGGAAATTGGAATCCGAATTCATTTTAGAAATGACAAATATAACAGTTTAAACTGACAAGACTATTCACTTGATTAATGCAAGTGCTGTCTGACTCTGGAAATAATCTAACTGTCTTAGATTCAACAGAAATATGAATTTAACATATTGACATCAGCTTCAATCTTTGATCCTTTCTCAGTGAACCGTTGGGTTTGCAGTACGAAGTTAAGACATCTCGTTGTCCTCACAATTTCAGACAAAATACTACATTTTATTTAGAAACAAGTTTACAGATAGACTACAGGTACAGGTATATTGTAGTTTAATTATTTGAACATTTTATTTTGTTTCAATGATGTCATCCACTTGAATTACATGACGAGGCCCTTTTGTTGGGTGTATTTATACTTATACATTGTATTTGATAACCACAAAATGATAATACATTCTCTATAAAACGAAAACCTGTCTCAGATGAAGAAAAAGACATTATTTCTTGTAAGGACGGTACCACAAAAATAGTACAATGTATCGTGAAAATCAAACTACTTTTATAGCCTTTTGCTTTCTAGTTTTATATAAAATATCTACATATCGGTATTAAGCGAGTTGTGCCTCACAAAATATTGTATAAATGCCCGGAGTTTGGTTTGTTTGTGTTTTATGTCATATTAACAGCTGTGGTCATTTAAGGACATGCCAGGTTTTAGTGGGGAGGAAAGCCTGAGTTCCTGACCCTAACCCTAACCCTAACTATCTAACCTATGGCCAGTACCTGGCGACTGCCCCAAGTAGGCCTCGAACCCGCAACCCAGTGGTGGAGGGCTTGTGGTAGCAGAATGTCAGACGCCTTAACCACTTGGCCACCGCGGCCCCTATAAAAAGCCCTGAGCATAAATGTCTCATGGTGAATGCAAAATAATGTTTTATAATTATCAAAAAATTATTGAAATAAAAATTTACCGCTAGAGGTAGTATAAGGAACCAGATTTAATATTGACTTACGTATGCGATCCTGGGGAGACATTAAAAGAGGGATAATACTGCTGGCCACCAGGAGGGTCCCTCCATAATGGTTTCTGTGTTGTACCTTTCTTGTCTTGGAAGTTGCAGGCTTGGCACACGTCATCAGGAGCTAAAGTGCTGTGAAAATGACAAATAAGTGCTTATTGAAAAATTCTGATTATTGCCATACATTATATGCCACAAATGCGTTATTGATATATATGATAATACAACATTGTAATGGACTGTTGAAAATTTAAGCATCTTAAATATGGGTATATTCACTGTCATTTGGGTCATACAATGTAACATAAGCATTTACCAGACTATACCATATTTTTCTTAATTAAAAAGACTCTAACTCTTACTGGGAGAGCACCCAAATACTGTTTTACAGACAGGAAAATACTCAAACAATTCTGATTTCTTATTCCATATAATTGGTGGTGTTCCAATCACTTAACTCTGATCATAACAGAAATATAGTAAATGATGTCTGCTAGGGAATTGTTTAATCACCTGTAGATTGGACTTCACTATCTAATTACACCCGAGAGACTCGGTGGAGTACACACAGGTCTTCTGTCTACATGGATTAGAACTAATCTGTGTACTGATGCCAGAGTCAGTAATGAGACACAAACCAATGCAACTGGACCACTACACTGAGGGATACAGTATGGTCAACTGCAGGAGGGGAAGGACATAGACACACAGGTAAAGATTTACCTGCGATAGATCTCAGGTTATGATAATAATATTAACTGATCAGCTACCCCAGCTAACAGCACCTTGGTAATTGTAGTATTATTTCACATAGATTTGAATGGCATGGTATAATCACAGAATTAGATTTAAAAATCGCTACACAGTTCCCAAACTAACTGACTACAATATCATTATGTATATTTTCCCCACTATCTAGGCTAGTATACATGTACCGATTGGTTATAGGACACCACAGCTTAATTACTACATTTAAACTCTGGCCAACTTTTCTAGATTTGAGAAGCTAAGATTTACGATTATATATTTCCTTATTTAAATCGTACTTTTTTGGCAAAATTGTTTTGTAGTACTGTCAGTAGTGATGGGCAATCGGTTTAAAATCATAATCGATAATCTGTTTGTAATCGAAATTATAGTAACCCGATCGATGATCGATTGCATAATCAGTTCATTGTTTTATGGGACTGAATACCCAAATGAGGTGAGAACACTATATACTACCATAACATCAATAGACAGAGTTGTTAACTATACATTAGGTTTTGTTCTTTTAAAATGAAAGGACTTTCAAGCAATTTTAATGCAATTTTATCACTCATAATTAAGTAAAAGTCATAAGAATAAATGTCTTTCAATATATTTTTTACATTGAAAACATAAACACTTTGATTTTAATGAAGAACCGATAATATCGATAACAGAATCGGTAATTGATAATCGGAAAGGTCAAACCGATCGATCATCAGCCCATCACTAACTGTCAGTATATAGATTTGGTAAATTATTCTCTCTATCAAACTATATTTTGTAGTACTGTCAGTATATATAGATTAGGTAAATTATTCTCTCTGTCAAACTATATTTTGTAGTACTCTGTCATTATATAGATTAGGTAAATTATTCACTCTGTCAAACTATATTTTGTAGCAGCTAGTACAGCAGTTATTAATAATTTAAAGAAGACATCCTGAGTGAAAGTGAATGAGTTACGATTGATTATGATTTAATCAAACACCTGAGCTCTTCTCAAATATGATCAATGAGCTTCACAAATTTGGATATAATCCCATAACCACGGAATTTAGATTAGACCAATGATTTTATTTTCATGCCAAACCTATATTTTTGGGATTTTATAACGTTACACATATATAAATATTATAGTTTCTGCTTCCATACATGTAATATTTATATATATTGTCAAGGTTTTTACATTTCGGTTTCCTATCGTCATGAGACTTAACCAAAATAATTAGACCAGTAGACATCCATAGTAAGATTGTTTAGGCCTTTTATCCGGTTATAGGTTGGCCTGAGTTTTGGGCCCTATCCAACTTATTTTACCGGTCCCGGTTTAAATGATCACGCTTTCATGTTTACTGTCATCATACTTCTGGTATTTTTATCATTGTTGTCAAATTTAGGTAACATACGAGTCGATATATTAGTCATATAACGTAACTAAACTCGTTATTCTCAGTCAGGAAGTTATGACTAATATCACGGAATCTAAGTCCGTGCTAATATATAACAGTGGTCGACTCATCACCAATAAACGCCAGTACCCGGCCGAGTCATGGCCTTTTTAGATACAATCGACCCCGCCCCAAAACCATACATATGCGTATCTAAAGGGAAAAAACAAATAGAACAAACCAGGCAGTCCGCCCACACATCGTGCCTGAAAATACAAATCTATGGAGACTGTTGACACGGGCCAAATCGTTTGTTATTGTCCAGTTGAACACACGTGTGTACAATCACATGTGTTTTTCCCGCCGTTTACTGCAGTATATGTCTGCTTGACCTATATTTGTAGTGTGTATCCTTTCAGTAAACATACGCTTGTGATAATGCATATACCACAGCGGTAAGGGTTATTCATAGCAAGTTAAAGTATTAATAAAAATAACTAGAAAATCCACGACAAGAATCAATTGTGTTTTCTTGTCACATGTCAACGTTTTGGTTAGATCGTAGGTAGCCGAACATGCCTGAAAGAAGTGTTTTGATTGGATTAATGAATGAATTGACCTCATCACGTGACCCTACATGTCAGTTTGCCGTAATGGTGTCAAAGAGAATGTCTCCACACTCTGGAACGTAAACAGTGTGAAAAGTTAAATTTCTTTCGCTTTTGTGTCGATAATTATATGAGATATTCAAAGATATTTGGTATGTACTTCCCAAAAATGTATGAGGGAGCCGAGAAGTGAATATTAGCAGGCTTATTTAGTATTTCCGTGTTGGGAGATTGACAAACATGGCGGCCGAACCAGGCACCTCCTACTACCAGCAGGTAAAATGAAATATATCTTAAACGACACACTACCGGCATAAGTAATTTCAGCATAAGTAGTTGCTATAGATATACATTTTTAATTGAATGTCTGTATTTAGCTTGGTTTTTGCTTGTTAGGATTTTTTTGTCGACATGGTATTGAGGTGAAATCATAGTTTTTGGACAACACCTAAAATGCTTTTTGTGACACCCCCCCCCCCCGTATATTACACTTTTAATTTGAAAGATATGTATTTATCAAGAAATGTACATATTCAGTTACATGTGTTGATGTTAAACATTGAAAAACAGATCAGTATTTTGCTTTTTATTTCTTTAAGATTAGAAACATTATGCACTTCTCATATGTTTGTTATAAATCTGGTTGAAGTATACTGTACCTGAGGCTAACTGTAATTGCAATATGATTGTAATATTATTTTAAAGTGCAACTGACTGGAAATTAAAATGATTTGTGCATGGTATGTTCCATTAACTTTTGTGTAGGTAGGAATACATACATTAATATTGGTATATATATATATGCATGGGATGATCGTAAGCAAATTAAGTAATTAATTCTTGGTGACAGTCACGATAATGAGTTTGTTGAAGTGTAAATATTAATGATAACCAAAAAAATAAGTTCTAAACGGACAACAAAGTTCATAAGCATTATAATTAAACCTTTCAATTGTATAGTCCGAATTATTCTGACGTTTTATCGACTTTTTTCATATCTGTCTGTATTCGATTAATGTCAGAACTCCGGCCCTCAATAATATGCGACCCGCACCCGGAGCGCACTTCAAACTGATATTTTAGAAACAAATCATCACTTTCACACATATGTCGCACATGGATAGATTTGTTTATATAATATCAGTTTGAAGTGCGCTCCCGGCGCGGGTCGCATATTTCCCGCATATTATATAGGGGGCCGGAGTTCTGACGTTAATCGACGACAGACCGATATGAAAAAAGTCGATAAAACGTCAGAATAATTCGGACTATCAATTGTAGTGCGCAGCAATTGCAAGCATGCAAAAACTTGAGAAATACAAGCAGTATGTTAATTCATTCACGAAAAGTACCTATATATATATATGGTCAGTATATATTAGTAGGTACTGCTTCTTGCGACGCTTCTTCAGCTTTTATGTCCAGTTGTGAAAAACAGAACTTTTGATTCCAATTTCGCCTGAGAGGTGATTGGTTTTAGACAGGATTTGAAACGGTCCATGTTGGAGGCATTATATCTAAGACTTGATTTTGGACTGAAGTATGTTTCAGATCTCCTCAACCTTGTTTGTTTCACAAGGTTTTGGTCACATTGAGACAAACTCTTTTAAAGTATTTTTCAAGTTTCACCAGGTGGTTAGTTCAGTCATGGTGTCTAGGTTGCTAAGGTCATGTATATAGTGTTGTAGAATTGTGTCATATATCTACCCATCTTGTTCACTGAAGTCTTGGCTGTTCTGGATGTTGTCTTATCTTTATAACTGCATGAGCACTATAAACACAATTGCATGATGCTATGTTGATGAAAGTGCATAAGATAAAGAAAAGTATAATAAATTTTTTAATCAAAGACTTGGTCCCTTAAGCTTTCATAGTTTATATTACAATGTGTTATGTGTATGTTTTTATTTCCTTGTAAAGAGCAAAATTCATTTTCCTTTTATCTTATATTTACCTTACAGTTTTAAGATTAACAAAGATTCTATTTCTTATTCAGTGAAAATGATGTTAAACATACATACTTTAAACCCACTCAGGGAAATGTATAAACTTTATCTATAAATTCTAAATATATTGCCATATTGAAATGTTGAATTACATTATTCTTATAATATTATTTATTTACAGAAATAGACTTACTATAATTTTACTGTTTATGTTTTCACAGGGAGGTGCCATTGGTATAGGGCAGAGGTATGGTTTCGAGCCCAATCTTCCAGAAGCTGAGATTCAACTGCGACTGGAAGATCTTCGTGAACAGCTGAAGAAGGAAATTCGTAAAGAAATGAAAATAAAAGAAGGGGCAGAGAAATTACGGGAGGCAACAAGTGACAAAAAAAGTCTGTCCGACGTCCAAATCATTGTCAAGAAGTCCAACAATAAGATGAAGGAACTGCAACAGGAGCTTCAGGAGTTGGACTTATACTTACTTATCTGCAATCCTGGCAGCATTCGACCTCGCGACAACACAATGGGTAAAATATGTTTCTAACTCTCAATATATTAAATAGTTTTTGTACCCACCATTTTATTGGGCGGACATATAGTGTCACCCATGACTATCTCGTCCAATCCTGTCCCATTTCATCACAATTAATTATCATAACTCTAGATCTAACAACTTCATTTCTTAACAGATTTTCTACAAAGGTCAAGAATGAGAATGCCTTAGATTTTAAAATTCCGAGGTCAATGCCAAGGTCATTATTACTATGTATAGGTTAACCAGAGAGCCAAGGGGGCATTCTTGTATTACAGAGGTTTTTGTAGTCTTTTATGATATGGAAAAGGGATGTCTACTCAATCATGCTCGAGTGGAAAACTTGGGCCACCAGAAACTCTGACTGAAATGATAGTAATGTACTTCATTTATATTATTGCTCTGTTTTATTGCTAATCTATAATAGCATACATAAACATCCTGATGATTGAGAATGAAACAAGCATCCTAGTCAGGGAGCACATTACAAAAAGTGCACTGCCATCTTGAACTGTCCTCAGTTTACATTTTACGGATTAATTCATATTATGGGTCAGTATGCATTAACAGAATGCAACAAGCACTAACTGTACTGTGTAGCACATTTCTGTAGCTAGTTTATACAAACCAAGACTATCAATCGGTAAAATATAATAACTGCGCATGCTAGCATCAGTTTTAAACGGTGGCACGTGGAAGCTAAAATGCTCAGATGAATAAAGGTGGCATGATCATGAATGTCCTATGAACTAACCAAACATAAGGTTAGATATGTATGGATGTTTGTCGTCACATACATTGTGTTTTAGTGTGTGACAACAAGTGGAACCAGTGTGTCGTTACTCAGTTGTTTCAGTGCGTACTGAGATATTTCAGCACTTGTTTCAGATGTCTCTTGTCTAGACATTCCTGTACGGTGTTTCTGGCACTGATCAGGTACTATTGTTTCAACATGGCACTCTGATCGCATTTTGTGTTATATGTTTCGTTCATTTATCTTGTAAGATTTTACCGCATATTTCACCCTTACAAAAAGTACCAGAACATCCTATTTCTAGTTATAGCTAAAGAAACTACCACTGCCAGGTACCAAAACATCAAGAATTCTGCTATTTTGATGGTATATAGGCTTTGTTGGACCTGAAGGAAGGGTCACCCTGATATCTTACTCTCAAAATGTCTTGAGTTTGACTATTGTACTTCAGTTATTCAAAAAATATATTCGGGTTTTAATTTATCTTTTATGATTTTAGAAAGTCTTAACTGAATCTTCATATTAAATTCTGGTAGGCAGGTGCAAAGTGTCAATAGATTTTTTGCTTATTTTTGATACAAAACTAGTTCAACACCACCACAGGTTGGTAATTGGTAATTTGCTAAAATATACCCAATGCCAAAACATATCTATACATGTGCATGTGGTAGTACTGACCATTGGTAGTACTGACCACTGATGTTGGTGATGATGCTGGTACAGTGATTAAAGATGGATTCCACCTTCCTATGGTAGTTATATATATATATAGACTGAAGATAAGCTGAGCATATAAATACTGTATGTTATTGGCCATAAATACAGAATCGGATATTGGGGTATCATAAATAAACGCTATGGTTTATTCATGCTTATAGATCTGTGAAATGTTATTCAGGAAATAAAAACATCTAGTACTTGGTATTTACACTGCACCAATAAGTTATCCAACCTATTTTAGACACCAACCTATTTTAGGATTAAATTATGATTAAAGTTGCTTTCTCTTATGTGTGAAAACTGAATGATTTGCTTGTTTCTGTGTACTGGTAATTACATTACAACAGTAGCAATGGTGTGTGTATAATGTATGTTATTATTTGATAGTAACATTGCTCTTTGCTTGGACTTAGGAGGGATAAGTCTGACCTATTTATTGCCGCACATTATTTTTTATAAATGTAGTGTAAGCAGCTTTAAGGAAGTTAAAATGAGATTATAGGGTGATATGAATGCACGCTTTTTTTAACCAGACAATAACCATAGTTCAAAATCTTACAGATCCTGAGAAGTTTCCTTCCATCAATGCTGGTTTCATAATTAACAACTGACATTTGTATGATTTTCTATTTGTAAATATTTGTACACAGACATTCATGTAAATTGTATAGTAAAAATATATTGTAAAAATTCACAAAACCTCTATCCTGATTTAAAATATAGGTTGTTCCCCGTTGTTGACTTGTTGTACATTGTACAGTAAATATAGGTACATGTAGATCTATATACGTTAAGAGGGGATGGGAGCTAATGTAGGGATGTTGTTACTATCTAGATCTAGGAAGATGGGGACAGAAATTGAGTTTACTCCCATTCCATTATCACATCAGCAGCGTCATATTAAACCTGGGAATCTTTTAATGCTATTTCCCCGGAGGAAGATATGTGTGGGGAGATAGGGAAGTGAGGAAATAAACTGATGAGGAAGCAGGCATTAGGGTATTGATTGAGACTCCAGCAGGCTATAGCTAGGTTACCAGTGTACAGAGGTGATCAGACCCAAATTATAGTATAAATGTACTGAGATGCTGATGGTGTTTTAAGTTGAATTTCGCTACTCTTTGGTTACTAAGTGTCGTTATAGATTTTTTTACAACCCGTTTTTTAGTGCGCGTCTACACTACATAATCACATCAGAGGTTACTGTCAAACAGTCATCCTTTACAACAGCTGTATCAAGATTTGTGGGCGATTATTTTTTGTCTTTAAGGAATTGAGTTTTGAATCTTGTTGATGTAATACTTTATATGAGTTAATATGGTGAAACTCTGAGACATTCTAGATTCCTTGTCCTAACCTCACCTATAATAAAAGTCTTTTGGCTTCGGTCAGGTCATGCCACGATCTCCAGTAGCTGGTCTCGGGGTCTTTATTTCACCATATTAACCCTTTCACCACTGTAGACCATAATGGACTCATCCAGATCATTGCAAGGTAGAGTCTAGATCTACTTAAATTGCATAGGGGTGAAAGGGTTAACCCATTCCAGAGAGTCTACCTGACCTGTTACAGTGGGAGTCCATACCTGAACCGATTCTGCACAAGTTGTTCCTATTGAGATTCCACATTCCCAATACATGTATCTAAATGAGGATCTGTTAATATTGAGTACTTTAATTACAATGAAGGTGCGTGTGACGTATAGATGGGACTGTGTTGAATGTTTTATGTAGTCTATTTCTTATCATTGAGTAAACCAGTAGCAGTTTAAAGTTAAGTAAAACCGTAGACGAGGAGGAAACCATTTTTGCTGTAACACATGAAAAAACATTCAATGGTTACGGCACATTTTTGCCGTAACCATTGAAAATGATTTCAAAGACTGCAGTACACTCAGCAAAAGATCGGTGTAATTTGTGTGGGTATCAGTAGAAAGGGAGAGCCAAAGATCGGTGTAATTTGTGTGGGTATCAGTAGAAAGGGTGAGCCAAAAGATTGGTGTAATTTGTGTGGGTGTCAGTAGAAAGGGAGAGCCAAAGATCGGTGAAATTTGTGTGGGTATCAGTAGAAAGGGTGAGCCAAAAGATTGGTGTAATTTGTGTGGGTATCAGTAGAAGGGGGGAGCCAAAAGATCGGGGTAATTTGTGTGGGTATCAGTAGAAGGGGGGAGCCAAAAGATCGGCGAAATTTGGGTGGGGATCAGTAGAAAGGGGGAGCCAAAGATCAGTGTAATTTGTGAGGGTATCAGTAGAAAGGGGGAGCCAAAAGATCGGTGTAATTTGAGGGGGTATCAGTAGAAAGGGGGAGCCAAAGATCGGTGTAATTTGTGTGGGTATCAGTAGAAGGGGGGAGCCAAAAGATCGGTGTAATTTGTGTGGGTATCAGTAGAAAGGGGGAGCCAATTATCTGTATAGATTGTGGAGTAAGTATAAAGGAAACAGGTACTTAATGTGTTCAAACCACTTTTAAGTGCCCACTTGAAACAGACACAGATCTAGAGAGAGGTTGACTTATACATTATTACGCAGCACGATGGAAAGTAACCCGTGTCCTTCCTGATCAGTAACAGTGAGTCACACAGATGTTCAGAAAGGTTGGAATTTATACTGCCAGATTGACACTTCTAATCAGTGTTAGGTCATTAATAGCTCTTATTTGATCTGATTTTGATTTATTTTAAGAGACAGCAGCTTAAATATCAAAAAAAATAAATACAAAAAATATCTGAAATAGTTGGTGTTCCCGGACGTTTTGACTGCCTCAACTGTTGAATATGAGGTAAAGGGCCAAAGACATATTCACCTTCCTCAACTACATGTACCTTAACCAAACCTAGTTTTAGTGTCTGACCTAATATTTACATGTATGTCTCTGCCATTTTAATGGGGGGGGGGGGGGGGGGGGGGTGTTGATGTAGAGTTGCCTATATATGTCAAGGTCACAATTATTGATACAAAGGACATCTGAGTCAGAGTAGACACAATAAAGGCAAAGGTCAAAATTTAATACACAACAATCAGAGTGGGACCAATATGAGGCAAAAGTCACAAGTACATACAGCTGATAGTGGACATATTTAAGGTCAATTCTGTACACTGTAATCAAAGTGAACACATTCAAGGTCAAGGCCACAATTTCAAAATTCAAAATTCAAAAAAAAAAAATAAGGTCAAAATTTCATAGTCAAGGTGCACGGGTAAAAAGTCAAAATCACATGTACATGTTAATATACCTGGGTTATAATAATCACAAAGGTCAAAATCTGGGACTGAAAGTGAAAGCTTTGAAGGTCAAGGTCACAATTGATATTCATCAGTCACAATTGACACAAAAAGTCAAGATCACAATTGAATACACTTCTGTAGAAGGAATCATAACCAAAACCAAACTATAAAACGTATCCGGCTGAGCAGACACATTGAACTACGTGGTAAGTAATAAATGCAAACAAAAAATCGATTTTTTTCATTAAGTACTTTTCTTACCTACAGACATATTGAGCCTAACTAAAGACATGTCAA